CTTTGAAAATGCGTTAGTTTTACATTAGTATATTCTCACAATGTGAGTCTCAAATGTTGTGAATATTTTACATTTCAAAACATTTATCAGGAAAAGTTTACCATGTCATCATATGATTTAGAGTTACACTAGTCTCACCTTTTTCAGTGGGTCAATCAGAATCATTTAGGGATCTCCAGTGGGAAATTGCCCAGGGGTTGTCAATTGATGAATATGTTTGGTTAATGTCGGGTTGAACAACTCCAGCTCATACGAGACTGGAAATGTCTTTGTGATGTAGTGTTTGCCTGGACCTAAACGCATACTGATCTCTGGAATCGCCACTTTCACTGTGTGACCTCTGCGTCCCATCTCTTCTGCCACTGCTTTCACTCCTGTCCAGTGACTTCCATCCATTGGTAACACTAACAGCTTCCGAGTCCAACTGCTCTTCAAAGACGGACACAACATACTGATCACTAGACATAAAACGTGCAGAGCTTAACGTTGATACTTGACCTATGTTCAAAGATACAACCAAGCTGCATTCACGTATTAGCGGTTTAGCTGATTTATGGATTTCCTAAAGAGCTTATTTTCTAGTCTGTCATACAAAGCAAACAGTGACTTCTCAAAACAAAGAGGTACTCTTTGTACCACCTAAATAGACTTAGGATCACCTCAGCTTCTTGGTTGAACAAAATATCAGTCTGCAGAGAAAAGGCTTGCAGCACAAGATGCAGCACAAGTTGATGAAAATACATCCTGTATGAGTTTTGTGTGAAGAATTTTGGGACGTAAGACACAGAAACTGGGCATGCTGCGGTGGTCGAGTCTAATCTACAGCCCGCAGGGCATACATTAATACCAAATACTAAATTCTGATTGGTTGTCAGAAATGTTCTTCCAGGATCATCAAGGATGTTGCTACAGAAACATGTAGAAGCCACATTCACCCAAAATGTCCCTGGTAATGAATTACGTATAGGTTCAGAGTCCCGCTCGTCTTTTGTTTCTTTTTACTGGCTTTTGTCTGGATTCACCTGGAGATACTGTAGTGACTTTAAACATGCTTTAGTTTAATCACACAATACCAGTCCAGAGAGTTGTGAATATTCTACATTCTTATACATTCATCTGGCCTTTTTGAAAAGTTTACCTTTACATCACCTCATTTAGACGGCTTCTAGGTCACATACTGTAACATATACAGATTTGATTGTAGATATCTAGTATACTTGCAGTTAAGTGCCTCAGACCTCTAAGTATCATGTGACAAGCATAGCTGATGCTCACCTTCGTCAGTGGGTTCTTCATTTCACAGTTAATTCCTCCTATGAGATGCATGTTGGGCATCAGGGGTTTGGGGAACTCCAAGATGAAATCATACCGCATTAACCAGACTGCTCCAGTGCTCAGGATCTCAGCCAGGCTCACATCTCTCTGCAGGAAGTTGGATGCCACTTCCTCAAAGGACCAGTAAAAAACCTTACATACTAGTGGTTCCAGCATGCTCACAAGAACGTTCAACACACGCTGACCAAAAGACATGCGGTCTGAGTATAGTGTATGGAAACGTGGGATATATGAAAGAGGGTCTGGACAGGCTGTGGCCGCAGCATCAAGGCCACATGGCAATCCCCTTAACATGTACACCGCAGGTACAGAAAGATTAAGTGCCAATATGGGCCCCGTTGGTAAGGCAGGATCGGTTAAAACAGCATCAAAGTTTTGTGCTCTCAGAAACTCTATAAGCTCCTGGCTCTTGAACAGACTTTCGCTTGTAGAGGCCATTAAGGTAAACATCTTTAACATATTTCCCACCGTTGAAGTCACACTCTCCAGTAGGGATTTCCCTGAGGTTGTCAATTCACGAACTTGCTCGGTCAATATCTCGTCGAACAACTCAAGCTCATATGGGACTGTAAATGTCTTTGTGATTTAGTGTTTGCCTGGACCCAAACGCATACTGATCTCTGGAATCACCACAATCACTGTGTGACCTCTGCGTCCCATCTCTTCTGCCACTGCCTTCACTCCTGTCCAGTGACTTCCATCCATTGGCACCACTAACAGCTTCCCAGTCCAACTGCTCTTCCCAGACGGACTCTGGTCCAGCGCAGCACAAATGACTATACTGATCACTAGACATACAATTACTGCTAAGCGCTTGTTTCTAGACAAAAATTCTTCTCCTGACATAGAGAGCCTCTGTGTGCCTGTTTGTCTCCCTATGTGCAAATATATCAACTGACTGCTTTCACAATTTATTATCAGATAGATAGCAAGCAAGTTGCTTTCCAGCTTGCTAGTGGCTGGACAAAATGATCTGGGAGGAACCTTTATTTATTTATTTAACTATTAAACACATTCATGGTATTACAATAAACAAAGATCTCCAGTGTCTTTTTACAACAAAAATGTGAAGGCTTAACTTGTAGTTTGCAAGTAGTCATGACTGGTTAATAATTTGTCAGTGTCAAAAGAACTTCACTGGCAGTGTTGTTGATCCTTTGACTGTCCAAAAATGCAACCAAGCCATGTTCATTTAGTAGCAGTTTAGCGGGTTAATTAATCTCCTATATATCCTAATTTGTTATCATAAACAAACAGTTGCCTCTCAAGCCAAAGGATACTCTTTGCTCGCGAATCACCTCAGCTTTAACCTCTGAGTTGAACACAGAGTATCAGCAAAAAAAAAAGATTTTATACAAAACGCAGGAATTCTAAGGCCCCGTTTACACGAGACCGCTCGCGGGTGAAAACGAAAAAATATTTTATCAGATGTGCCTTTCGTTGGTTTACACGGCGACAGCGTTTTTGGGGCTTAAAAACGCAAAAGTCTGCTTGACAGTGTTGTTGTTGTGTGGCAGTGCTTCACATTGCCACCTAGCCGCCTGGAGTGCATACTACATCGAATTTCACACACTTTTGCGTCACCATATGCACGCAGATTTCCCACCCATAACACTCGTCTAAACGCAGAATAAAAAGTGATAACGCAACGCCACTTTTGCGTTTTCTCTTCAGATCGTTTCCGTGTAAACATAGCCTAATAAACAAGGCCGATATACACCGGGATTCTTATTTTGTAATGTCTATGCTTACTTCCAGCAGCTCATTCAAACAGATGAGGGGGATAAAACATGCACTCTTACAACCATCTACAACAGTGTTTTTTAACTCCAGTCCTCAGGTTTCACCTCACAGAATGTTTTAGGCTAGATGTCTCCCTATTTAACAAGCTGATGAGTTGAATCAGGTGTTTAATTACCAAGACATCTAAAATATTCTGGAAGGTGGGTCACCTGGACTGGAGTTGAGAAACACTGATCTACAACCTATAACAAAATAAAAACATAATTCATCAACCGCAGATAATAAGCAATGGCTTGGTATAAATATGCAGTATTGATTGTGAATTGCTCTGAAACGGCGAGAACATGCAGTGCTCACATCAATTTCATCATTGCATTTTGAAGTTTAATAATCAATTAGGCTGTAGCTATTGTGATTCCTGTTTTCTCACACCCAAATTTTAGACTTCTTAAAATGGAAGTTATTTGTTTTGTTATACCATTCAAATTATATTTTTTGCATTAAATTTGATCAAACTGAATTTAAGACTTTATAAAAACCCACAGATACCCTGTGACTAATATATCAGTCAGCAGAGCAAAGGCTTCAATATCGTCAGAATGTTTAGCAGACATTGATGAAAATACATACACTGTTAATTATTTCCCTGTTAAATAACAGGAAATTACTGGCAGCAGGGTTACCATTATTTTCCTGTTATTTTAACAGTTTATTCCTGTTACTGTTTTTTTACAGTGCACTCCCCGTAATGTTTTTCAACAGGAATTTACTGTAAATCACAGAAAAAACAGGAAACAACTGGCAGCAGTGATACCATTATTTTCCTGTTAAATCACCATTTATTTTATTTCCATTAAATATTGTTAATTATTTTTAGCATATAGTAACGTGTACCACTGATTGTTATAGACATATTCTAGCTTGAGTTAATACAAGAATAGGCATAATCCATCAGATAACACTTAAGTGAAAGAAAACGAATAGTTCTGTGTTGAAATTAACTTTTTTTATTGTAATACAAACACTGAAAGGTAAATACTTACAAATGTAGGCACACATGGATCAGACCAATCACAGAAATATACTGTATATCATGTTCATTGCTGACATCTGTGGTCGCTGGACGGAAAATAACAACTGTGTCTGTCTTAAACTAGCAAAGACACTTGCGTTTGGCTTTGCGCTGCGTCGGTGCAAGATAAGGCCCTAAACCTCAACATTTAATGTTCCCTGAAATGCTAAAATTCAGCTAAAAAACTCAAACCAAGGATATACACTGTGACTCCTGGTCACATACAATTTTTTACACATAGGCTCAGATTAATCACAAACATTCTCATGTTCATGGCTTAAAAAGTAGCAAATACATTGTTCATTATAACAAAATACTGAACCTCAACACTTAGTGTTACATAAACCACTAAAATTCAACATGTATGAATACATTCAAACCAACACTTAATGGAACTCTTCATCAATAAAGAGCAATAAACAATAAAAACTCTGTCACTGCTTAGACCACTAACCATTTTCTCAAAGCACACAATGAGGATCCTTTGGGTCTGTATATATGAGAGAGAGAGAGAGAGAGAGAGAGAGAGAGAGAGAGAGAGAGAGAGAGAGAGAGAGAGAGAGAGAGAGAGAGAGAGAGAGAGAGAGAGAGAGAGAGAGAGAGAGAGAGAGAGAGAGAGAGAGAGAGAGAGAGAGAGAGAGAGAGAGAGAGAGAGAGAGAGAGAGAGAGATATGAGTTCCATAATTTCACATTTTTAATCCAAAATTAAATCACATGGCTTGACCTAACAAAAGCTCATTTTAGAAACAGAGCCCAAACCAGACAGAATAAAAAAATATTAGAAAGGGTGATGAGTACAATTCATTGAAAGAACAAAAAAAGAATGGCAAGAGCATGGAAGAGGAGTTCAGCATTCTAACTTTGAAAGGCAGTTGAGAATGAACATTAGAATGAATTTCCCCAGCTCCTGAGTCGTTGCTGTTTGAACATATGTGTAATGTATACATCTTACTCACCATTTTCAAATGAAATCCCACTGAAAGTCCATGAGCTTGAGCAAGAGGCTGGCGACGTGTGAATTGACAAAGTTCTTCTGTTTTTCCCCTTTGCAGCCTTTGTCCCTTTTTCTGGGTTTAAACCCACAAAGCGTCTGAAAAATTATACAGTGGTTAAAAATCTAGTAATTCACACAGACTAACAGGCAGCACAACAAAGACAACAAATGTACATGAACTATCCTCAACATGCACTATCTTCTTGCCTCTGTGAATATTGTAAGTTGCACTAAAACTTTCTAAATCAAAGTTAATTGCTAAATCCCATCACCAGACCTGTTAAAACCATGCTTGAGCCACAGCTAGGCCAGAAAAATATGCAGGTGTTAACAGACAATATCTTACCTCTGGATGAATTCAATCGTGCAGGCTGCCTCCTCTTGGTACTGTAGGTTAAAGATGTAAAAACAGGAAAAAAAAGACGCCAGCCCTATCACAAAGGTGGACTGGATCCCTTCGCAAATGATTTGGCCCTCAAGGCTGAGCATCCACCGCTGGAAGCGGCTTCCCGTTTCTCCTGAAACAGAAATGTTTTAACTGTCAAATTTCTGTTTTAGTTTTCATTTTGAATAGTTTAGTTTGATACCATTGAATTCACTACATACAACACTAAAGCCAACTGTCCTATCTAAACCAACTTACCAAGAAGTATCAGACGAGGAGTTGCAGGTATAAAGAGTGAACTCTCAAGGTCAGCTGCAGTGGCATATCCCTAGGACATAGAACAAATTAAACACAATATTAATGACATAAGACTACCACTGATTGAGATAGATATTTAGAATGAGAGATGGAGAGACAGGAAGAGATAGATAAAGAGAGATGGGATATAGAGAGATAGAGATATAAATCCTGGGATATCATCTTGAACAGCAGTGTGATCAGGGATGGTATCCTGCATCTGTAATAAAAAAAACAAACAAGAAAACAAATGTAAACATTGATCTACAACTCAATGATAATCAAAACAGCAAAAAAATAAAATAATAGGGTGCACTATACCAAGGCAATTAAAAGAGAATAGCTGTTCACATAGCTAGATACTGCACTAGCCCTATCAGTAATAGCTGTTTTTGCTGGATTTACCTCATTGATAGGCTAAAACCTGCACATAAAATAGTCACACCAGCATGTCTGGTACGTTAGCCCAAACAGCTATAGCGCTATAATCCATCAAAGACGAGCAGCTGACATGAATTCATTAAATACTTGGACCAACTAGACCAACTAAGTTAACGTTATCTAGCATAATAAACAGCTAGCTGCTATCAGTAAATAGATTTATGTTAGCCGTTTGATTTTCAGGATGAATCTGCTTTAACCAGACATGCACATGCCAAGAATGCCACACAAACTTGACCACGGGAATGCTACTTAGAGTTATAGGCGTAACGTAATGTTAGCCTATTGTTTATAGATTTAGATCGTATACATAAATGGACATTAAAATAAGCGCATTGTTTCTAAAAAATTAATGGACAAACTATCGAAATCACCTAGGCTCATTAGCAGCTAGCTAGCGTTACGTTACTTCATTTCATGTGGTGTAAGTCCGTGGCGTTTAGTAACTTATACATCAACATCACTGATAGATGTTAAAACTATATATGACTTTCAAGAAACTCTCTCACCGGATTATTGTGATTTTGGTCGATGTAACCACCGCGATCCTCCTCCGACATGGATCTCCGTGTTCGTTGCCGGCAGGTTCAAATGCCTTCTACGCTCCTTCCCAGAATTAAAAAAATACTGTATGAACATGTTATTTCAAATAGTGGCGCCAATAGACTGGTGGCGCGGGCGCCTGCCAGCGTGCTATACATGATACGAATATGTACACCTTGTTCAGAAAGAAGAGGGGAGACACACCCACCCACACACACACACACACATTGGGAGCGCAGTTCCTCAACTAAAACGTTAGGCCTTCTCGCGTAAAATCCGGAGTGTAGGGTATTAACAGTTAATAAAAAGCTATTACACCCACGAATCACGATAACAAACACATTTGCCCATGCACAGAAAACACCGCAAACTTTCTTATTTCTGTCTGTGGAATAGGCTATGCAAGATTATTCTTGATAACATTTGCAGTAGAGAAATCAGGTGTTTAATTCTAATCTTCATTCAGTAAATGCATACAATTAGTTTGTTAGTCATGGATTGCACCGTCGACTATTGATTGAATCAGTCGTTGTTTAGCAACCTAAAAAACCGAAATGAAATTGCTAACTTCTCTGATATAATAACTTTTTTATATAATAAGCATAAAATTGCATATCGGCATTTATCTCCAAACATACCAGACCATACTCTATCTGACATCTTTGCTTGAATTTTCGATTTTGCGGTTAAATAACAAAAATGAGGTGTTATTTAACAATGAGGTGTTAAATAACAAAAATGAGGTGTTATTTAACATATATTCCCTAAAATTAACAGTAAGTCGCAGTTATTAAAAATAACAGGTTAATCATGTTGAAATTTGGGTGTAAATTAACAGAAACATTTTACAGTGTAGCCTATACAGTTTAGTGTGAAGAATCAGGGCATAAGATGAAGGGTCCAGGCAGACTGTGGTGGTCAAGTTTAGTCCAATAAGTATCACAATAAGTCAAGTCTTGATTTTGCAGAGTAGGCATGTTGGGTCATCAGGTTTTGGAAGAAAAAAAAATTCCAACTTTTATCCCTACTCCTAACCTTAACCCTAACCATATAAACTACAGGAAAATTATACTGTAGGTTGTTAAGAATGGTGTACATGCCCCCTAAATCATGCCCCCATTTATCATGTCCTGAAAAGTTGACCTGTTCTTCACCTATTTTAATCTGTTTCTAGTCATGTAGCATACAGACTTGATTGTTGATATAGGCTACTCCAGTTCGTGCTTTGAAACTCTGAGTATCATGTGATGAGTATAAAGGTGATGCTCACCTTTGTCAGTGGGTTTCTTCTTTCACAGTTAATTCCTCCTATGAGATGCATGTTGGGCATCAGGGGTTTGGGGAACTCCAAGGTGAAATCATACCGCATTAACCAGACTGCTCCAGTGCTCAGGATCTCAGCCATGCTCACATCTCTCTGCAGGAAGTTGGATGCCACTTCCTCAAAGGGCCAGTACATAAACTTACATGCTAGTGGATCCAGCATGCTCACAAGAACGTTCAACACACGCTGACCAAAAGACATGCGGTCTGAGTTTTGTGTAAAGAAATGTGGGATATATGAAGGAGGGTCCGGACGGGCTGTGGCCGCAGCATCGCATGGCAATCCCCTTAACATGTACACCGTAGGTACGGAAAGATTATATGCCAATATGGGCCCCATTGGTAAGGCAGGATCGGTTAAAACAGCATCAAAGTTTTGTGCTCTCAGAAACTCTATAAGCTCCTGGCTCTTGAACAGACTTTCGCTTGTGGAGACCATTAAGTTAAACACCTTTAACATAATTCCCACTGTTGAAGTCACACTCATCAATAGGGACTGCCCTGGTGCTGTCAATTCACGAACATGGTCCTCCATAATTTGGCTGATTAGATCTTGCCCATACGAGACTGGAAATGTCTTTGTGATGTAGTGTTTGCCTGGACCCAAACGCATACTGATCTCTGGAATCACCACAATCACTGTGTGACCTCTGCGTCCCATCTCTTCTGCCACTGCTTTCACTCCTTCTGTCCAGTGACTTCCATCCATTGGCACCACTAACAGCTTCCCAGTCCAACTGCTCTTCCCAGACGGACTCTGGTCCAGTGCAGCACAACTGACTATACTGATCACTAGACATAAAATTGCTCTGAAGTGCATCTTTCTAGCCAAAAATATTTTAAAAAGACTGACGCTGTGAAGCTTTACCTCCGTGTGTCCGTTTGTCTCACTATGGCGCTTTTCCACTACACAGTACCAGCTCGCCTTGGCTCGGCTCGACTCGACTCGCCTTTGTTTGGTTTTCCACTGTGTAAAAGTTGTACCTGTACGGTACCTGCTTTCGGGTACTTTTTTTCGTACCACCTCTAGAGAGGTTCTTCTTCTTCTTCTGTTAATTTTTTGGCAGTTTACAGTCAAAGTGTATTACCGCCATCTACTGGGCTGAGATGCAATTTACATTTACATTTACCTTTATTCATTTAGCAGATGCTTTTTTCCAAAGCGACTTACAAATGAGAACAATAGAAGCAGTTAAACTAACAGTAGGACAACAATACGTAAGTGCTATAACCCCTCTCAGTTTAATTTTAGTGCAGTTTTTTTTTTTTTATAGAATAGAAGAGAAGAGAAAGTGTTAATTCTACTGAATCAAGTGCTGCCGAAAAAGATATGTCTTCAGCAGTTTCTTGAAAGTGGCTACTGACTCAGAAGCTCTGGTTGAGTTAGGCAGATCATTCCACCAACAGGGAACAGCCATGGTAAAGGTCTGAGAAAGAGATTTTGTGCCTCTTTGAGATGGTACCACAAGACGACATTCGCTAGCAGAGCGCAGGTTTCTGGATGGCATATAAGTCTGAAGTAATGAGTTTAGGTAAGAGGGAGCAGTGCCAGTGGTTGTTCTGTAGGCAAACGTCAGTGCCTTGAATTTAATGCGAGCGGCAACTGGCAACCAGTGCAATTGTGTGAGGAGAGGAGTGACGTGTGCTCTCTTCGGCTCATTGAAGACTACTCTGGCTGCAGCATTCTGGATCAATTGTAGAGGTTTGACAGAGCAAGCTGGAAGACCAGCCAGGAGAGCATTACAATAGTCCAGTCTGGATAAAACAAGTGCTTGGACAAGGAGTTGTGTGGCATGCTCTGTAAGGAAGGGCCTGATCCTCCTAATGTTGTGCAAGGCAAATCTGCCGGACCGGGCAGTTCTAGCAATGTGGTCTGTGAATTTCAACTGATCATCAATTACAACCCCAAGGTTCTTAGCTGACCTTGATGGAGTTATGGATGACGAGCCTAGCTGAATGGAGAAGTTGTGATGAAGTGTTGGGTTGGCCGGGACCACAAGTAGCTCTGTCTTCGCAAGGTTTAGTTGAAGGTGGTGGTCCTTCATCCAGCCAGAAATGTCTGTCAGGCAGGCTGAGATACGAGCAGCTACCAGACAATCAATGAATGTCATTCACAAAAAATAAATAAATAAAATAAAATAAAAAATTAAATCCTATTTGCTAGTTTTGTTTCTTTGATAAATGTTATCATAGCATTAGTGATGTTTCCTGATCTATTCTCACATAATAATGTTTCTAACGAAAAGGCTTTTTTTGACTGCATTCACTTCCCTCTTCAGTTTTTCTCTTTGTCTGGAGAATCGTATGCACCTTAAAAGAACATGATCTACATCCTCTCTCACTCCACATATCTCACATTTCCCAGATGGATGTTTATGTATAATGTGTAAACTATTATTTAAAGTCTCCATGAATTCAAAATTGACCATACTTACTTTGTTTGCCTAAATTGATCGTTTTGTGGTGAACAATTCATCCATGCAAGTCAATCCACACAAAAAAATTTTTTGGCTTCGTAATCTTTAATCAAAATCTGAAATTTCCCCTCCCCTCTGCGTTGGAGGACCTTGCCTGATGACGTAGGTTTCACGGTTTGGGTGTCTGCTTAACATCCGTAATCACGCCCCTCCAACTGACAGTAGACAGGCTGAATGAAAACACCTACTTTTCTAGATCCAATCAGGTGCTAGTTGGGGAAAAAGCCACGCCCACCATTTTGCCTCATTTAGTATTCCGTTTCTCTCGGAAATACGTCACAACACTGGAGAAAAGTCGTTTGCAACTTCCGGTTCACGGGGACTTTAAACTAGTATGGCCTATTTTCATTCTTGTAAACCAAACCTCTTCATGTCTGTTTGAATAACTATGTTTGCTACTTGAAATATCTTTTTGTATATTGTGTAAATGTGTACCTTTCTTCTCCTTATCCCATTTATCTTGCCATATCTTGTTAACTTTTTGTTTCTCCGGTGAGGTTCTGAGCGAGCTGAGGTGATACTAAAAAGTGACGTGAAAAACAATGCCGACTGCTGATTGGTCAGAGAGAATCGTCACTATTCACTGCGTCATCATTACACGCGCCAGATGGAGTATCCAGAATAACCCCGCCATTTTTAAATAGTTTGGCCAGAGATAGTTACTAAACTTACTACTATTATTTATGGCAACTCGGAAGAATACGCCGTGGTCAAACGAGGAGGTGCAGACATTCCTTGGCGAAGAGGATCCAGAGAGAGCTTGATGGGGCAACGAGGAACGAACTTTTACAGTCTATGGGAACGAAAGGCGTTGCTATGACGACCGGGTACTATTTGTGGCCTGTACTTTCTGCAATGGAAAACGGAGCGAAAAGCGAGCCGAGTCGAGCTGGTACTGGTAATGGAAAAGCGTACTGGTACTGGTATATGTGCAATATGTCAACTGGTTGCTTTTTATTTACGATCAAATAGACAGCAAGTAGATTGTTTTCCAGGTTTTGAGTGGCTAGATACATGTGGGTTCACAGAGTCTGCCAGTTGCAGACAGACTTTGCTGGTTAATGATTAATAATAATAGTGTAAACAGAACTGCATTATTGGTAGTGCTGTTTTGATGTTTTAACTAAGTTCAAAGATGCAACCAATCCACAAAACATATTCAGGCAGAGGCAGTAGAAATTTAGCTGATTTATGGATTTCATAAAGAGCTTATTTTCTAATTTGCCATCGTAAGAAAGCAGTGGCTTCTCAAGTCAAAAGATATCCTTTGAATAGAATGACAGCCTGTATAAGAGATGAGTTAAATCAAAACTCATCTCTTATAGAGCCTGTTTGTCATTCCAAGTAATCAGAAGCTTCTCAAGACAAAGAATACTCCTTTTTCCCCCTGATGAAGTGCAAAAATCACCTCAGTGTTAACCTCAAAACCTTAAATTAAATCTTAAAAGCACCCCTTAAAGGGACAGTTCACCCAAAACTGAAACCTCTTTAATTTACTCACCTTCACGTTTTTACAAAACTGTATGACTTTTTCTTCTTTGTAACAATAAGATAATAAAAGTATATCAAAATATACAAATATAAAAATACATTTTAAGAAATATCTGAGACATCTTGTCCATAAAATGGAAGCAAATTGTCCCTAAAACAGTTTGGTTACCAACATTCTTAAATTTATATTCTGTGTTTCGCAGAAGAAAGGCACATGGTTTTGCAACACCATAAGGGTGAGCAAATTATTATAGAAATATACATTTTTGGATGAACTATCCCTTTAAGCTTTAAACCCACTTCTATGCCTGGTGTAGTAAACAGTTGAAGCAAACATTTTTGTGACACCTATTTAAATAAGCATCCATTCAAATATCTGCAAACACATCCCTCTACTCACCTTAATCAGAGGCCGTTTCACGGCACAGTTAATCCCCCCGATTAGAACCATGTTTGGCATCAAGGGTTTAGGAAACTCCAGGTTGAAATCATACCGCAGCAGCCATAGAGCTCCACTTTGCAGGATCTCCACCACACTTACATCTCTCTGCAGGAAACGGGAGGCTACATCCTCAGTAGACCAATATATCAGTCTGCAGAACAAAGGCTCCAAGATGCTCACTAGAACGTTCAGCACACGTTGACGAAAAGACATACGGTCCGAATAGTGTGTAAAGAACCGTGGGATGTAAGAGGGAGGGTTTGGGCAGGCTGTGGCCGTCGAGTCTAGTCCGCAGGGTAAGCCTCGCAACATATAGACAGCAGGCAAGGAGAGGTTATAAGCCAGGATGGCACCAGTTGGCACAGTTGGGCTGGTGAGTACCGCATCAAAATTCTGCTTCCTCAGGAAATCCACAAGCTCTTGGTTTAAGAGGAGACTCTCAGCTGTGGCCCTTTGGAGGTCCACAAATGTCCTCATGTTACTGATTCTGGTGCTGATCTTCTCCAACAGAGGCTGCTGCTTATTATCCATCACCTCAGCATTTCGAGCTTTGAGTTCATCCAGTTGTTGCTGTCCATATGGAACCGGAAACGTTCTAGTAGCGTAGTGTTTACCAGGTCCTAGCAGTATACTGACCTCTGGAATGACCACCATCACTTTGTGACCCCTGCGACCCATCTCCTCTGCTACGGCTTTCACACCAGTCCAGTGACTTCCGTCCATGGGCACCACTAAAAGCGAACCAGTCCAACCAGTTTCTCTGGGATGTGTCGTCTCTCCCACATCTGCAAAAGCAAGCAAGAGGCACCCTACAAATGCAACCGATTTCATCTTTAGGTCTTCATGTTTAAAGGGTGTATTTGAGGAGAGATGCATTCTGCTAATGATTCCTCAAGGTCTTGTGCAGAACTCTCTGTGAATCTCCCACTTCACTGTATTTAACAAACTGGATCAAGGCTTATTTTTCTGTGTGAATTCCTTGCAGGATTAACCAACTGTGTGGTCAGGCCGGGACCACTCTTAAAAGTGAAGCAGAAAGAGAAAAAATTTCAATTTGACACTAGAGCCAATACATGTCTCACAAAGACCCTGGCAAAAATGGAGGTACAAAGTCCTGCTTATCTTTTGTTTTCTTTTTACTGGCTGAAATCCCATGACCTTTGTTACCCTTTCCAGCCTGGGTTAACCTGCAGATAATAAAACTAGATAATGACTTTGAGTTTTAAACTGAGGTTTACATTTTCACACAACCCGAGGGCTGAGGACCTCCTTGTTTTAGAGTAAATGCAAATTCAAAAATTATATTTACTGTCGTTACATGTCGAACCCCCGAAATGGAAAAAGGTCAATTGTCAATGGGACAGAAACATTTTAATATACATTGCCTTTTTCAGGAAGTGTTTTGAAAATGGACTTAAGTCTGACCACAGGGTGGTGCCATTACATCACATGGCAACCAAACCAAATCAAAGGAGCGGATCTAGAAAATTATTTATAGGGTGGCGGTCCGTGTATCATCTGATCATTTGATTTCCAATTTGAAATGAAATAAGCAGAAATGAGAAAACGGCATCTTTATTCGTTTTTTTATTTTTTAAAAAACGAAAAAATGAGATTTCGGTTTGATTTTTCGTTTTTTCACAGGCAAAAAATGAATACATGACTTCAAAATTCGTTTTCCACATGTGGGCGGTCATGAGACGCCCCCTTCCGCTGATTGGGCAAGTAAATCTGAGCATGTGACGTCATCAGTCGTCGCTCAGGTCTGTTCAACAAAATAATAGTCCTCAACGGTAATCTACCCATTAAGGAAGTAATTTGTCTTTTTGAAAACCCAAACAAATCCTTAGAATCTACTGGCAAATCCTTGTGGCAAACGTTTACTTTCACAAACAAAGGTTTCTTAAGAAAATTCCTACTTTTAAAGATTTCTTATGTGAAGTAAAATATTTAATCAAATCACTAAGAATAATTGATAATAGAAAATGTTCTTCTTTTTTGAAGAAATATAGAGATAGTTTATGTACCATGATTAATATCTGTTTGCTGTTTCTTTTTTCCCCTTTTTTTCTTCTTTGTTTAGCTCTTTCCATTATGATTGTGCACTAATGAGTTTACTTGTTTAATATACATTGTTGGAAATGTTTTAGATTTCTAAAAGATGTGTGTTTGCACTATTGAATTTTTTTTAAATAAAAATAAATAAATAAATAATAATAATAATAGTCCTCTACTACCGCTTCTTAAACTGTACAGGGCAGGTCCTAGATTGGGCTTTCTTCTGTGCAACTTAACGCGTTTCACAGAAATATTTACATCAGAAATATTAAATATTAGTCTGCCACCAGCCTGTTTAATTTAGCTGTGCGGAGTTAAATCTGTGTGGTGCTGCGCTAGACAGCGCAGAGCTGGTGAGGCACAGACCAGTGTTCAGTCAGCAGTCACAACTTTTCTTTTAGACAGTATAAGCTCCGTTTTGGACACGGGATGGTCATTGCAAATACTGTAATTATGCCAATCGGCTGAGGGTGGGTACCGATGATGGTGAAATAAAATTTTACTGAAACTGTAATCATAGCCGCGACCCGCGAGAATGAGATTGATCACTATAATGATTGACAGGATGATAGTGGAGGCAATTAAAGGGGCAAGATAACTTCTGTTAACAAAAAAAAAAGTGTTTAATATAAGTGACTTTGTCTTTGTTTTATTGTTTTCAATAAAATAATAGTGAACGGTTGACCACAAACTGAGCCTTCGTTTTAGTTTTAAAGGGCAATTTCCAAATATCTGTTATTTATTTGTTATAATAAGGGGATTTTGGGTCACCCGTCTTATTAATAGTATATTTGGTAATAAAAAGTTTTTTTTAATTTATTTATTGTGTTTTCATTAAAAATATAGGCCTATCATAACAACTTATAAAGATCAAAATCTACAGAAGACGTTAACATTTTGATGTTAGACTGTGTAGACATTGATGTTTGACATTTTGAACAATATGAATTGAGTTGGGCCAACTCAATTTTGGAAAAATTTAATTCTAAATATTAATTATTGAGTTGAGCCAACTTAATTTTGAACAATTTAAATTGAGTTGGGCCAACTCAATTTTAGTAAATTTAAATGCTAAATATTAATATAGATCTGCATTTAACTCTGCACAGCTAAATAAAAAAGGCTGGTGGCAGACTAATATTTAATATTTCAGATGTAAATATTTCTGTTAAACGCGTTAAGTTGCACAGAAGAAAGCCCAATCTAGGACCTGCCCTGTACAGTTTAAGAAGCGGTAGAATATTAAATATTAATATTTAGAATTAAAATTTTCTAAAATTGAGTTGGCACAACTCAATAATTAATATTTAGAAATAAAATTTTCCAAAATTGAGTTGGCCCAACTCAATTCAAATTGTTCAAAATGTCAAACATCAATGTCTACATAGTCTAACATCAAAATGTTAATGTCTTCTGTAGATTTTGATCTTTATAAGTTGTTATCATAGGCCTATATTTTTAATGAAAACACAATAAAAAAAACAAAATTTTATTTAAATAAAAAAAATTAAATTACAAAATTTTATTAAAATTTTCTAAAATTAAGTTGGCCCAACTCAATTTAAATTGTTCAAAATTAAGTTGGCCCAACTCAATAAATAATATTTAGAATTTAAATTTTCTAAAATTAAGTTGGCTCAACTCAATAATTCATATTTAGAATTTACATTTTCTAATATTGAGTTGGCCGAACTCAATTTAAATTGGTCAAAGTTAAGTTGGCCCAACTCAATTAAATTGGTCAAAAATTAAGTTGGCTCAACTCAATTTGAGAATTTTAATTCTAAATATTATTTATTGAGTTGGGCCAACTCAATTTTAGTAAATTTAAATTCTAAATATTAATTATTGAGTTGAGCCAACTTAATTTTGAACAATTTAAATTGAGTTGGGCCAACTTAATTTAATTTGTTCAAATAAAGTTGGCTCAACTCAATAAATAATATTTAGAATTTAAATTTTCTAAAATTAACTAGGCCCAACTCAATTCAAATTGTTCAAAATTAAGTTGGCTCAACTCAATAAATAATATTTAAAATTTCTCAAATTAAGTTGGCCCAACTCAATTTAAATTGGTCAAAGTTAAGTTGAACCAACTAAATTTAAATTGGTCAAAATTAAGTTGGCTCAACTATATTTGAGAAAATTTTAATTCTAAATATTATTTATTGAGTTGGGCCAACTCAATTTTAGTAAATTTAAATTCTAAATATTAATTATTGAGTTGAGCCAACTAGGGATGGGACGAAATATCGTTTGACAAAATATCGCGATACAAAACGTGACGAAACGCATCGAGGTCGAAAAAAAATGGATCGCGAAATAAAGATAGATGGCACTGCTGCATGATTTGCGTAGTATATAAATAATTTAGTGTATTATATGTGTGTGTGTATGTATATGGGGCAGACATACAGTCTATGGTGGCAGGCTGGCAGCACCATCTGCTGATCAAGCAGGGTAAAACTAAATGAAAAAAAAAATTATATCCGAGGAACGGTGCGGTACGTCATCACGTCAAGACAGCGCATGTTGCAACAACAACACTGCAGTCTACAGCGAGCTAACAAATATTAGCATCAGTACCAACTGCCTTGCCCCCAAACAGCCGACCAAGGAGTCAAATGTATATACCGTAAAACTTCAAATAATAGCCCGGGCTTTTATTTTCCCAAATCGTCGAACTGCACCGGCCTGTATTTGAGACAGGCGTCTTTATGAGACCGGCCTTTATAATTTAGTGTTGAGATGTTCATTGAGTCTAAGTAAGCCTAGAGTCTCTAATCTCTAAAAATCTCCAAATGCTCCACGTGAAACTGCGGTCTTCCGACCTTTTACTGTCGTGTCAATTGATTTTGATTAATATGCGCGAGGGAGAGAGAGCAAGACAGCGCTCGTTTTGTTTGAAGACGTGAGAGTGCGCGCGCGCGGCCGGGGCGCTCGCTCTCTCTCTCTCTCTGCTCATTATGCGCCCTGTCAAGCGCAGCAGTCAATTCATTCTACATCACTCGCCGATCAAAAAAGGCTTTGGTGGGACACACATTTGCTTTGGCGGCCAAAGCAAATTAATAAGTTGTTGTTATACAGTAATAATTTTTTCTTTTTTTCCCTTTTTTGATATCGTATCGTGACGTATCGTATCGTGACCCTGGCATGTCGAGGTGCATCGTATCGTGAGTTTAAGTGTATCGTCCCATCCCTAGAGCCAACTTAATTTTGAACAATTTAAATTGAGTTGGGCCAACTTAATTTAATTTGTTCAAATAAAGTTGGCTCAACTCAATAAATAATATTTAGAATTAAAATTTTCTAAAATTAGGTTGGCCCAACTCAATTCAAATTGTTCAAAATTAAGTTGGCTCAATTAAATAAATAATATTTAAAATTTCTCAAATTAAGTTGGTCCAACTCAATTTAAATTGTTCAAAAAATAAGTTGATCCAACTCAATAATTAATATTTAGAATTTAAATTTTCGAAAATTAAGTTGGCCCAACTTAATTCAAATTGTTCAAAAATAAGTTGATCCAACTCAATAATTCATATTTAGAATTAAAATTTTCTAAAATTGAGTTGGCCCAACTCAATTTAAATAGTTCAAAAATTAAGTTGGCCCAACTCAATTTAAATTGTTCAAAATTAAGTTGGGTCAACTCAATTTTAGAAAATTTTAATTTTATATATTAATTATTGAGTTGAGCCAACTTAATTTTGAACAATTTAAATTGAGTTGGGCCAACTTAATTTCATTTGTTCAAATAAAGTTGGCTCAACTCAATAAATAATATTTCGAATTTAAATTTTCTAAAATTAAGTTGGCCCAACTCAATTCAAATTGTTCAAAATTAAGTTGGCTCAACTCAATAAATAATATTTAAAATTTCTAAAATTAAGTTGGGTCAACTCAATTTAAATTGTTCAAAATTAAGTTGGCTTAACTCAATTTTAGACAATTTAAATTCTAAATATTAATTATTGAGTTGAGCCAACTTAATTTTGAACAATTTAAATTGAGTTGGGCCAACTTAATTTTGGAAAATTTAAATTATAAATATTAATTATTGAGTTGAGCCAACTTAATTTTGAACTATTTAAATTGAGTTTGTTTATATAACATAGGCTGGTATAAATCACGTTTAAGTGCAAGTTAAAGAGCAAAAAAAACAACAACCTAACATTAGAAAGAAATACAATAATATCAATGCACTGAGAGTGAGCATTTTGAAAATGTTATTAACAGAGGTGGTCTGTGTGGTCACCCAGAACACCCTAACAACCACATACTATAGCGACACCCCAGCAACTGCATAGCAAGAGCCTAGCACCTAGCAGCACTTTAGCAAACACCCAGAACATCTATCTATTCTGGCCTAACTGACCAAAATATTTATGTTTTTTAAACAAGACATACATTTCTTTCAAACTTTTCAATCTAGTTATTACAGTTTTTCTTGATTGCTGTTAACACACGATTCATGAAACAATTCACCGTTTTCTCACAACTATAAACACAATCTCAAAACTACCAACTTGCACAAACCACAAACTTCCAGGTCAAAATAAAACATTAATTAAAAACATTCTCTTCTGTCAAAATCAATCTTCGACCTCAAATGACAGAAAACTGAACACTACCCCACTGCCCAGTGAACACTAGTGATGTTTTATACTGTAATAGACATTAAGCTGCAAAATAATTCATTAATCCCAATAAGAGATTTTTTTTTTTTTTTTGACGACGTAAGTGCGTCGAGGCGGCGCCCGCGCCATTAGCCAATGAATTGGCTTGATTCTATATGGAATTCAGACTATCGGCACACCCAGAGGGCGTTCTGACGCGTAATTTTACACGTGAAAAGCAGCCAAACCTTGCGAGCAAGAGCGTGCATGCGCAATGGCGCCACCAGGGGGTGGCCAGGGGTGGCCGTGGCCACCCCTTGCCGACTCCTGGCCACCCCACTGGCCACCCCAATGGCCAGAATAAATTTTAGTAGCATCAGTTATGCATTTCATAAATAAGTCAAAAATAATCTTTAGTAAAAGAAGGGGCATTATGTGTCGTGACGTGCTTTTTAAGTGTCAAATGGTTACAGTAGGCTATACTGTTACAGCAGCTTTTTGATTTGTCTTTGCCACGTTTTGACAAGCAGGGATGCAAACAGCGCGCGAAAATTTTCGGCGCCTCTCGCTTTTTTTACGTCAGTTTGGGTGACAAAGTCATCTGAAGTTATTCCATAGCTTAATGTGAGGGACAGAAGTCTATTTACATCATTAAAGTATACGGAAACTCGTTTTCCCTCCTCTACGGCTGTCAATCATTCTCCATTCATATTCAAACAGCGCGTGCGCCTCTTGGATGCACGGTAAAACTCTCTCCAATATGATATATTCACATTATAATGCATGATCTGTAGATAAAAGGCTGTAGATTTGCATAAAATTACTTTATTTTGTTGGAGTTTGTTGTTGTTTTCAAACGACTCACTACCGTGTGCTTGCTAAATCATCACACACACACATCACAAGGACTATGAATCGGCATCAAAAGCACAATAACTGGAATATAAAACTGAAACAAAGGAACAAATCGCACTAGGATTTGTACGCTCGACATTTCTTCGCTTTGTGACCTGAACTTTTAAATGCGCACTTATGCAGCGCAGCGCTGCACACACAGAGTCACCATGTTGCTTTGAGCACATCATTCTGCACCCGCGATGCACATACACGCTGTGTGCGCTCTGTTTTTCATGTTATCATGGGTTTGCGCACTGAAATATTTTTAAAAGCCAATATATTTTGTTATACCTAGCCTGCTCAATACATTTAAAATAAGCATAATTTAATTGTATATTATTTCTTTGTAGTGTAGGCTATATATGCACTTCTGAATTCTTGAAATTAATATATAAATATAAAATTGTGAAATGTATGATTGCCTGATTGAATTTTATAAGAGAACTAATAGTAATTTGTTTTTATTAACATATTTAGATTTTATAAAATTACTGTGCAGATTTTTTCAAGAATTACTTTTTGCTGCTGATTTATACATGCATTAAGTTTATTAAAAATTCATAGTACATTTATGTAATATTTAAAGGTGTTAACTGTAATCTTACACTGCAAAATAATAACTTAAAAAGGATTAAAATCATCACAATTATGTAAGTATCTGGAAATTTGCAGCGGGGCGAGGGCTCTTATATATATCACATATAATATATATCATTATATATAATATAATATATATTAGTAGTGCCCTACTAATATCATTAGTAAGCTAACATTAAATATAACACAATAAACCAAAGTATATCATAGGAGTTTCCTTAAGTCTTTCTGATAGTTTTCTACAGGCCGGTTTACTACAACAGTAGAATAAATTCTGAAATTATGGTTTATAGTTTTGGTGTGCCACCCCAAGATTTTAAGTGGCCCCATCTGGCCACCCCTATGAAAAAGTTCTGGAGGCGCCACTGCGCATGCGAGACAGAAGAAACTGTGCGTGTGTGTGTGTGTGCGTGCGTGCGTGCCTAATTAAGTCAGGCACCGAAATCAGGCACCGAAATTGTCGTTCTTATTCGGTCTGGTTACTACCGTTTACGTCAGAACCGGTTCCCTATTGGCACCGAGTTTCGGTACCCAACCCTACCTACAACTCAATGACTGAATGGGAAGGGTAAGAGGCTATAATAAAAATACCATAAATACAGTATACAGTGAGACTCATTTTAAAAACAAACGTATTATTCCAAATATATATTTTCTTATTTTATTCATACATGGGGTGAAGAAATACAAAATATGTTGTATTAAATACACAAGATAATTAAATACAATACTGTATGCAAAACAAGACGAATAAATGAGATCAGTCCTCTTCAGTGTGAGGAGATGGTGTGTGTGTGTCTATTGGCTGACAGTTTTTTCGGTTGTATGGGGATATTCGGTGTGTTTCTGGACAGGCACATTTGAAGTCGCCTCTGTGGTTGATGCAGAGGTGAGAACAGCTGCCGTTCTTCAGCTCACACTCATTGACATCTGACAAATATCAGAAGGAAGAACACTTAACAGGAAGAATTCATCTCTCAATGAAAAACGACACAGATTTTAGTTGTGTATATATGCATGCATCAGTCTATGCTGGCAGGGTTTGCATGTTTGCGTGCTGACCTTCACACTGGGCTCCATTAGGGTGCAGTCTGTATCCACGAGGACAGATACATCTGTAAGTACCTGGCAGATTCACACACTTCCACTCGCACGTGTGCAACTGTTGTTGCTGGAGGACCTCGGTTTCCTCACACTCATTAATGTCTAAAAACAAACCAGAAAATACAACTTTTACAATAAAAAAAAATACACATCTCAATATTCATTATCTTAGAAATCATCTATGCTGCTCTTAAAGGGGCAATATTATGGATAAAGGTCTTAAAGGAGTAGTTCACTTTAAAATGAAAAATTTAAATAAATCATGGGGTAATTTTCATTTTAAAGTGAACTACTCCTTTAAGATACACTAGTAAAAATATAAACATTTTCATGAAATAAATAAATAAATAAAAACCCATTAAATAAAACCGGAATAAGACAAACAGTGAAAGTCCTCAAACTGACAACCTAAAATGATTAAAACATTACTTTATTGGTTATAAGGCCTTTCACACCAAGAACGATAACTATATTTTCATCCACAGTGGATAATGTTGTACTGTTTATTCTGAACACCCGCTGCAGTTTTGTTGTCTGACGATTTTTTTTTTGAACAAGGTCTGTTTATTTAAGATTTAGTAATATGCAAGGAAACAAAAAACCAAACAATACAGAATATACAGTCAAAGCCCCAAAACAACCCATCCCTCTACCCATCAGACAAAAGTATCAATTGCATTGTGTAAAAAAACTAAATAAAACCAACATCAATTATTTACATTTTGGGACTGTATTCCCTACTTGAATTTTTGATGATCTGCATGATCTCCTTAATCCAATGAAAAAAAGTGGGGGGAATAGGGTCTTTTCATTTAAACAATATTAATCTTCTGGCAAGTAGTGTGCAAAAGGCCAACATTTTACAACTACTCAAGTGCATGTTCTGTGCTGTAACACCGAATATATCAATATAAGGAGATGGATCTATTGGTAGCCCTATTATTTCTGAAAATGCATCAAAAATCGATTTCCAAAAGTTATACAAATTTGGGCATGTCCAGAACATATGTGAAAGGCTCGCAGGAGCCTGCCTACATCTATCACAAATATGATCTAGCTCTGGTCTGAATTTAGATAACCTAACCTTCGACCAATGGAGCAGGTGTACAAGCTTGAATTGCACAACCACATGACGTTGACATACAGTAAAGATGATGAATAAATCTGTTTAATTATTTTCTGCCAAGTTGTCTCTGAAATTTGTTTATTCAAATCCTTCTCCCATTCATTTTTAAGTGATCTAAATTTGCCAAGCGATGCTGATTTAGGAGATTATACATTTTGCCTATAATTTGTTTGTGGTCTTTTCCTATCTAAAAATAGAGTCTAATAGAGATGTTGGAGGATATGAAGGAAAACAATCAGTTGTGAAACAAGAAAATTTCTTGCTTGCAGATATGTAAAGAAATGGGACCTGGGAACCTTAAATCTATTAACCAGTTTGTCAAAAGATGCAAAAGTGTTATCTGTATAAAGATCTTGTAATGTACAGATCCCACTCTTAACCCAAATATCAAAAGCTTTATCTAATATTGAAGGAGTAAACATATGGTTTTTACTTAATGGAGCGCATAAGGCGAGGCCAAGAAGGGCAAATGATTTCCTAAATTGATTCAAAATTTGTAGGGATTGTGTCACCATAGGGTTAGAGGAATAGTGAGAGGCAGGTTCAAGCATTGGAAGTTCAGAGCACAGTAAAGAGGATAGGGACAGGTTTGCAGGAGATTTTCTCCAAACTAAGCCATTTAGGGGAGTCAGGACTATTACTGTCCCTCAAGTCAGTCCTCTGATATTGGCCGCCCAGTAATAAAACATAAAATTGGGAAGTGCCATGCCGCCGAGGGTGCGAGGCTTTTGTAATGCACTTTTCTGAATCCGAGGATTTTTGTTGTTCCAGATAAATGCTGATATAACTTTGTCTATGGAGTTGAAGAAGTATTTGGTAAAAAAAATAGGAAGACTTTGAAACCGATATAGGAACTTAGGCAATACACGGCTGCTTGGGCTCAACACATGGCTGCAAAAAACTTGCAATATAAAAGGAGTAAACTTAATTGACAACTTCAATCTTTTCTGGAGTCAGAGGCAACTGTTTCAACAGGATGGCCACCACCCAAACAAACTTGGTTCAAGAGTGCTAAAGGACAATATCTACTTCTCCCTCAATCATCCTTCTGCAGTGTGTGCCAATCCACTCAACCTGAATGGCACACACACACCTGGACACAGTATGAATGACCACAGGACTTCATTTCAGCACGTGGATGGACATGCGGTTGACATATCACACAAGGACAATGATAACACCACTCAGCCAAAACAGCCACTGCTCACGGACACAATCTCAGCTGAGCCCTGCCCACAGAGCTCACCACAGACAGACTGTGACATACTAGAACTGCTCCAAGTTTCAGCTCCCAAGGACGACTTGTTAGAAAACCAGGACAGTATTTTACAGCCTCCAATAACACCAGAGAAACAGCCCCCTCCAGCCTCTACCCTCTCACCAGACACGTTATCCCTATCTCCAGCTTCTCCACAGCATCTTCTGTGCTTCTCAGAGAAAATGGAAAAACTGGTGTTTGCTGGAACCAAACTATCTGCAAGCCCCCAGACATCAACCAAAAAACGGCAGGCCCCAAAACCACGAAAGCCTGCGGGCCCAGCTCGCTCTCCGCTTGTGAGAGCTCTTCGGCCTCTGCAAAAACGCCAGGGCTCACACCCTCCTCTATCGCCTCGAGGTGAACCAAAAACAACTGATACCAGCTCTCAGTGATATGTGCCGGGTGCCCGCTATGATAACAGTAACTTTCTCAAATGTTTACAGAACAAGCGGGAACCCAGTGTGCCTGTATCTTTCTCTATTGCTGTTCGATTACATGATAGAAAGTCTAAGGCCTTCAAAAGCCGTACAGCAAACCCATCTAATCTGGTGCCTATTACACGCCAAACTAAGACAAAAGTAACAAAAAGTAAGACTGTTAAGTTAGCACTATTAAACATCCGCTCACTTAAAAATAAATCACATCTAGTCAATGACTTAATAACCACATACAACCTGGATTTTATGCTTCTAAATGAAACTTGGCTAGAAGACAGCTGCAGTTCAACAGTCCTCAATGAAACATCCCCTCCTAACTTTACTTTTATGAGTGTCTGCAGAACGGGTAAGAGAGGTGGAGGAGTAGCTGCTCTTTTTAAAGATGTCTATCAATGTAAGCAAACATCATTTGGTAACTACCCCTCTTTTGAATATCTGGGTATTGTGTTAAAAGGTGCCCCACGCATTTTACTTATCATTATTTACAGGCCTCCAAAATACTCTCCAGCCTTTGCTGAGGACTTTACAGAACTGTTATCAACAATTTCCTCAGAGTTTGACTGTTTTGCTGTTCTACTGGAGATGTTAACATTCACATAGATAATGATACAAATATGGCAAAAGAAATCAAAACTGTTTTAAAAACTTTTGTTTTTAAAACAGTTGTTTTGTTTTAAAAAATCTGATTCAGCATGTACATGGTCCCACACACAATCGTGGACACACTCTAGATTTACTTATCAGTAAGGGTTTAAACATCTCATCGATTGTTATTAAGGATGTAGCACTGTCTGATCATTTCTGTATTTTCTTTGATATATTGATCTCTCCTGCCATTGAAACTAGATCTGTGTCTGTCAAGAAGAGATGCTTAAATGAGAACACTAGTGTGCTATTTATGAAGGCTATATCTTTGAAACCAAGCATATCTGCTGACTCTGTTGATTTTCTCCTTGATTCTTTTAACTCAAAGGTTAAAGGTGTAATAGATTATATTGCTCCTGTGAAAGTCAGGAAGAGTGGTAGACAAAAAGCACCTTGGAGAAACTCAACAGCTGTGCAAAATATAAAAAGAACATGCAGAAAAACAGAGCGCATGTGGCGGAAGACAAAACTTGTAGTCCATTATAACATCTACAAAGACAGCATCCATTCTTTTTAATATTGAACTAGGCAAAGCTAGACAGACTTTCTTCTCAAATATTATAAACAGGAACTTAAACAACACACGCACTCTTTTTGCTACTGTAGAGAGACTGACAAACCCCCCAAGCAAAATTCCCAGTGAAATGCTCTCAGACGGCAAGTGCAGTGAGTTTGCTTCTTTCTTCTCTGAGAAAATTAAGAATATCATAAAGGTGATCAGCTCATCATTGAGCCGCACTGGGGTCAGACAGATCAGACCACAACCGGAGAAAGTAGTTACTATGTCTGTTTTCAAAGAAATTGATGGCAAAATTTTGGAAGAAACCATACAGCACCTTAAAACATCAACCTGCGCCCTTGACGCACTTCCCACATCTTTCTTCAAAAGTGTGTTAAACAGTTTAGAAGCAGATCTCCTAAAAGTGGTTAATGCCTCACTTCTTTCTGGTAGTTTTCCAAACTCCCTGAAAACTGCAGTTGTCAAGCCCCTCCTGAAAAAGAGCAATCTGGATAAGACTATATTAAGCAACTATAGACCGATCTCAAATCTTCCTTTTATAGGCAAGATCATTGAAAAAGTTGTCTTCAATCAGCTGAACAAATTCTTAATCTCGAATGGATACTTGACAATTTTCAATCTGGTTTCCGATCGCATCACAGCACAGAGACAGCTCTCATAAAGATAATAAACGATATTTGCTTAAATACTGATACAGGGAAATTATCAGTGCTGGTACTACTCGACCTCAGTGCTGCATTTGACACTGTCGATCATGACATACTTCTTGACAGGCTGGACAACTGGGTGGGGCTTTCTGGGATAGTCCTAAAATGGTTCAGGTCATACTTAGAAGGGAGAGGTTATTATGTGAGTATAGGAGACCATAAGTCTGAGTGGACGTCCATGACATGTGGAGTCCCTCAAGGCTCAATTCTTGCACCACTCCTGTTCAACCTATATATGCTCCCACTGAGCCAAATAATGAGAAAGAACCGAATCTCTTACCACAGCTATGCAGACGACACACAGCTCTACTTAGCCCTATCGCCTAACGATTACAGTCCTATTGACTCCCTGTGCCAATGCATTAATGAAGTAAACAGTTGGATGTGCCAAAACTTTCTTCAGTTAAACAAAGACAAAACTGAAGTCATTGCGTTTGGAAACAAAGATGAAGTTCTCAAGGTGAATGCATACCTTGCCGCTAGGGGTCTAACAACTAAAAATCAAGTCAGGAATCTTGGTGTGTCTCTAGAGTCAGACCTTAGTTTCAGTAGTCATGTCAAAGCAATAACTAAATCAGCATACTATCATCTGAAAAATATTGCAAGAATTAGAAGCTTTGTTTCCAGTCAAGACTTAGAGAAACTTGTGCATGCTTTCATCACCAGCAGGGTGGATTATTGTAATGGACTCCTCACTGGCCTTCCTAAAAAGACCATAAGACAGTTGCATCTCATACAGAACGCTGCTGCCAGGATCCTGAGCAGAACCAGAAAATATGAGCACATCACACCAGTCCTCAGGTCTCTACACTGGCTCCCAGTTACATTTAGGATTGACTTTAAAGTATTATTACTGGTATATAAATCTTTTAATGGGCTAGGACCTCAATATATTGCAGATATGCTCACTGAATATAAACCCAACAGATCACTCAGATCATTAGGATCACATCAGCTAGAAATACCAAGGGTTCACTCTAAGCAAGGAGAGTCTGCTTTTAGCTATTATGCCAGCCGCAGCTGGAACCAGCTTCCAGAAGAGATCAGATGTGCTCCTACAGTAGTTACATTCAAATCCAGACTCAAAACACATCTGTTTAGCTATGCATTTACTGAATGAGCACTGTGCCACTGTTCGTCCGACTGTTTTTACTGTACTGTACTTTATTTTATTTTTTATTCTAAACTGTTTTAATTATTCTTATTTGTTTTGATTATTTTAATTTCTTCTATGTAAAGCACTTTGAATTACCATTGTGTATGAAATGTGCTATATAAATAAACTTGCCTTGCCTTGCCTTGCCAATACATTAATCTTAATAGTATTAATTCTTCCACTTAAAGAGAGGGGCAAGCAGGTCCCACAGTTTGATACCCTGTTTCAGACCTTCTATCAGGGGCAGGAGGTTAGCTTTATAGAGGTCCTTGCAATTGTATGTAGCCCAGATACCCAAATATTGAATCTTTTTTGTGGTAACTTTAAAAGGAATCAAATTGAAAAAAATACGTGTAGCAGCTGCATTTATTGGCATTAATTTGCTTTTTGGAAAATTTATTTTGTAGCCAGATATCCCACTAAATCTTTCCAATATGTTCAATAATTTAGGGAGACAAGGCAAAGGATCTGATAAATATAACAATACGTCATCTGCATAGAGCGAGATTTTACACTCCATATCCCCTCTATGAATTCCTTTAATAAAAGTGGCTCGATTACAATGGAAAATAAAAGTGGAGACAGCGGGCAGCCTTGTCGGGTGCCTCTTTGTAAACTAAATAAGGTAGATCGATTATTATTGGTGCGAACTGCTGCCATTGGGGAGGAATAGAGGATTTTAACCCATGATATGAAATTGCTAAATCCAAATCTTCTTAGAGTGTAGAAGAGATAGTCCCACACCAGCAGATCAAAGGCTTTTTCAGGATCAAGTGATATCAAAATCTCTGGTATGTCGGGTGGGGATGGACTGTAAATTATAAAAGACTTCTAACATTAAAAAAGGAGTGTTGTCTGCCGATTGAAATGCTTGAGCTCTTTAAAGCGGGATGGATTCTGATTATTATTGTTTATAAACTGGAAAAAAATTGTTCTGAAAGTGAATCCAACGATATAGTTTCTCTGTGCCGTTATTGTTATATTTGTGGTGTAGACTCTACTTTTATTTTATATTTAGAATGATCTTTTTCACCCAAGATATTTTAAGAATATTGAAATTAAAGGCATTCATACAGGTTTGGAACAACTTGAGGGTGAGTAAATTATGACATCATTTTAATTTTTGGGTGAATTATCCCTTTAAGTTTCCTGGTATTAGTCTACAGTAGTAAGCCTGTGTATTACAAATCAGTGTGAAGAAGACTTTCGGACCTCTTAAGACATATCTGCTTCTGTCCAGCAGTGTTAAGATAAATTAAGATAAATTAAAGATATGTAAAAGTCTGACCTATGCAATGTCTGTTGGTGCTGTCCGGTTGGTACCCTTCGGGACACAAGCACTGGAAACTGCCTGGCGTATTAATGCACCCAAATGCACAGAGAGCCCTACCAACATGCTGGCACTCATCTACATCTGGAGGTAGAAATATTAAAATTAAAATTAACACAACCATTTAAAGTTAAAGTATGTCATTTGGCAATATATATTTATACACAGGTATATACAGTATATATATATATATATATATATATATACTGTATATACCTGTGTATATAAAGTTAAAGTATGTATTTTGGCAATATATATCTACACAGGTATATACAGTATATATATATATATATATATATATATATATATATATATATATATATACTGTATATACCTGTGTAGATATATATTGCCAAAATACATACTTTAACTTTAAAAATGGTTGTGTCATTGGCAATGCATCACACCAGACACTGATTCACTCACCAGAGCAGGATGTCCTGTCTGGAGAGAGCTGAAACCCTGGACTGCAATTGCACCTGTATGAGCCCAAGGTGTTTTCACAGACCTGCTGGCACCGGTGCAACTCCTCCACACACTCGTCCAGATCTATTAATACCACAGACAGGCACATGAAAAGACCAGCACACATACTTACAACAAGTACTAGCATGTGCATGAATGAACACATGGACACAAACAATGATGAAGAAGAGTGATATCAAACACATTCCTATCCTATATTTAATATATGCAGATGCATAACCAAGTATACAGATACACACTCACCCAATCAAACATTACTTGTCAGGATGAGCACAAAAGGGATGAAGAAGTTGTACAAGAAGAATTATTGGAATTTGGAACACAACATTTTTTCAACCCTGTTTACACCTGTATTTATTGCTATCCACTTGTGATCAGATCACAGAGATGGATGTTAATATCAGGTGTAAATGACAGAAGAAATGACTAAATGAAAAGGTTTTGGCCTTCAAAACGTGCTGTTCATCACACATGAAAACACAGGTAAGTGTTTGCGTGCTGCACCGCAAAATCTCTGTCTGCTAAAGCAAGGTAAAAACATATGTTGTCGTAACTTATTTCACATATACTTTTGTGTACGTACGCAAGTAGTGCACTTAGATCCAGTTTGGCTGAATAAAACACAGGCCACCTGTTTAAGCATGAGTGATATTTAGAGTGATATTCCTTAAAATCTTGACCAATGACCAAGCCCAGACTGAATCCGCAGAACTCTGAACTCTTCAACAAATTTGAATCAACTCAGCAGAAAGAATATTTAATCTGACTGTGCCTGATTGTGACTGGCTTAAACTGCTTGTTTATACTGTAAATAAAACTCATAAAATGAACCTGAAGCACACTGCATTTCATGTGTAGACCTACACTCTAAAAATAAAGGTTCTTTATAGGCATCTATAGGGGCTTTCGCACCGGAGGAACCTTTTTATAATTCCTAGAACTACTGGCTGAAGTATCTGCTTTTTGGCGTGTTCGCACCGCAGGAACTGGGAATTATTTTAGTTCCAGGAATGCCTTTTGGGGGAACTAAATTAGCTCCTACTTTAGAGTAGGGTCTAACCCAGCACTATAGGATCTACCAGTGATGTAAGTTTACGTTGATTGATAACGCAAGCGAAACACCAGCACCTGCCATTTAAAAAAAACTAAAAAAAACATGTACATGAACTAACTCTACGAACATGGGAAACAGTGACAGATGGACCTCTCAACCTTTACGCTAACCCTCTCAACGCGACAAGCAAAAACAATCAACGGACCAAGCAAAACATGTTTCTATGAAGAACCTTCAACATCCATGGAACCTTTCTATTGCATAAAAGGTTTATTATAGTGGATTATATTAGATATTATAGTAAAAAGGTTCTTCAGATTATTAAAATGTTCACACATGCTGTAGCTTGTCTTTTAGCTCTAATGAACAACCTAATATGGGTCAAGTATTCAACGCCCTGGGGTGACACCAGAGGGTGATGTTGAGTCTTGAAGGCATTCAGGGCTGAATGGACACACCACAGCTGGTTTGCAAACCAAAACCATAAATCTAAGTCACACAGGTCAAGGATGCGTAAACAAGCTTTTAACCCGGTGTCAAGAGCACCTCTTGACAGAAAAAAAAAGAAAGAAAAAGAGTAAGCCGCCATTCCAAAAGTGGAAAACCTATAATCACTGGAGTCTGGCTGTCGGAAGAATGCTATTCTGTGGTAGTTTTGCAGTGGTAATGATACCACAGTCAATAGATAAGATTAAAACGTGCATGTAGTTCCTCTCTCACCTCGACAGGTGCGCTGGTCCTCCAGAAGCAAGAACCCTGGTTCACAGAGACACTGGGCGCGATTCTGTTCATTGACATGACAGATCTGAGAGCATCCTCCGTTGTTTAGGGAGCAAGGAGTTAACTCTGCAATTAAAATAAACATACTACGATGAAATTAAGATCCAACTAGTTTAAAAAAAGGATGTTAAAAGTATAAAGTATGTTTTTAAATGCTTTTGAAACAGAAAGTGATAGACTAAGTGGTCGCTTTCAAATAATATAGTTTAATTTATTAATATATATTATTAATAATTAATAATATAAGATTTATTAATATAAATATAAGTTTCAAACTGATATAGTGTAATGGTTTTAGAGAACAGGACATGATTTGCTCACTGCTGAGAATGAAATCCCACATCCGCAGTGGTTTACAGTTACTCTGACCTAATAAATTTACCTTGTGTAGACAGGAAACACTTTTTGATAATTACATGATTTTGAAAATTACACTTTGTTTAATAGAAACAGCCCACTAAACAGTGGTAAACTTGATTTGATTCAATGAGAATATACATTCATGTGCATTTTTAAAATAAGATAATGTGTTTAACAGAACACATATTCCCCGATTTGTCTGATGACATTTAAAGCCATCCTGAGGCCATCTGTGTTGAACATTTATGCCCATCACCTGCTTAGAGGAGAGATGAGCAGGATATTACACAGATGTCAGATATCTACAGACATGTAAGATTGGAGTGTGCGTGAGGGAAGACAGGAAGGAGTCAGTATGGTAAAAAGCGCCAATACAATAAAAGCACATAAACAGGCTTATGAACAATAAGCAATTCTTCCCAGCAATTTTCATGTCTTCAGTGAGCATGTGATACAACCCTCTTAAATAAACCCTTTCTTAATAAATCTATAAATAAATAAACATTCTCTTAGGATGAATTGTTTGAAATATTCCTGATTTCCTCTTCATAAGAAAAAAAGTCATGCTTTGGTGAATTAAAATTATGACATAAAATCATAATTAGTAGATAAAACGATGAAATTATGAGATACAAAGTCATATTTATGACATAAAAGTTGAAATTATGACAAACATTTTTTTATTGTCAATTACGACTTTATTTCAATGTGGTGGAAATGGGCTGCCATAGATAACAGAATAAATGTAAAAATAATGTTGTGTGCACTATATAATGTTGCACTTTCACTGTCTTCAGATTGTGCATTTAAATGTTAAAAATGTATTTTCAATTTTATCCTACAAAAATAACTTTCTACATATTTAGTTCTAATATGTGTCGTATCTTACCTAAGCAGAGAGGTGTTTGGCCACTCCATTGTCCATTGTGTTGGCAATAGCTGTAAACATCACCATTGGTCAAGGTGTATCCAGGGTAACAGGCATATTGAATATAATGCTTATACTGAAGCGGGTCGGGATTCTTTATCGACCGAAAGTAGAATGTTCCGTGAGAAGGAAATGGAGGGTAGGGACACACTGGACGGCGTTTCCTTGTTGCAAACCTTGGAAGATCTTTCCAGACTGGAGGACCAAAAGTTTGTTTGGGGTCACTATGATTGTTTCTTTCATTTACTTGACCATCATCAGTAATGTCAGAAAAGTTATGGACGTCAGTTTGAGCCTTCAGAAGCAGGCCAGACATTAGTCGGGTAGCCGTCGTCAAGTCTGCCATGCTAGATGATGTATGTTCTAGTGTTGGAGATGTTTCCTGGAGGTCTGGTCTTTGTTCACAGAGTTCTCTGCAGGTAGAGGAAACAGACTCATGTTTAGACACCATGAAACCAGGATAGCTTGTTGTTGGAGGTGCAAAACTCCCAGTGGTGGCTGCATATGGATCTTCTGTGATGAAAGTCCTTGACTGTAGAAGGTCATTTGTGCCCAGTGTGTTGATGTTTGTTGCAGGTGTAGTTGATGTCCAGTGCAAATTATTTTTAATGAATTCTGGTAAAGTCTCAGCAGCTGAAGTGACTAAGGCTCTTTGAAATAGCTTGTCTGTACCAAGTGTGGACTGATGAGGTTTTTTATTTCTTCTGTATGGCGTTTCAGTAAATGTCTGATCCATGACCTTGATTTGTTGAGTGTCCATCACTGGGGTAACGAAGCTGGTTTGTGTGGTGGTTAAAAATGACGATTCATGAAAGGAACTGACTAATGACATTGTGTTGACATTGGTAGATGTCATTGGCACAGGTTTCCGAAGATCGGAGTTCCCGATTGGATCCTTGAAGTTTACAGGGTTAAAGATTGGCTCAGCCCTTCCACTGTCAAACAATAGACTCTTTGAGGGCTTTTTCTCCCCTGGTTTCCTTATTTTTTTCTGCTTGTTATCTGTAAAGTCAAGTCTGATATGAGGGACCTCAAGCAATGCTGATTTGAGAAAAGCATCCTTGGGAGCAGTGATTGCGAGGGTGTTTAAATGGCTATGTAAGCGAACTTTTAGATTTGTAGGAACATCACGGCCCTGCGCTGAGACAGGACCATGTGATGATTCTTGCTTCAAATGAAGAACACTCATGATATCAGCTACTGTAAGAACCAAAAAGCAAAATATAAGGAGAAACATAAAGGAGCCAGAGCAAACAGATGGTCAGTTGTACAGGAAGTCACTGCAGCAGTGATTTAAAAGCAAAAACGCATAAAAAAGGCATTTAGCAATAGATCAAACAGTTTTGGCATTATACGCTTGATTCAGATGACATACCTTTGCAGACAGGCTTAGTGCCGTTCCAGCTTTTCCCTTTGCAGTAAAGCAGCGCATATCCAAACAAACTAAATCCAGCATCACAGCTAAAGAAGGCCAGAGATCCGTCTTCAGACACAATAGTCCTGCCATGCAGGAGATCACCAGGGCTGGGGCATCCTGATGCTGGAGTACAGAACAACTTATGGCTGTATGGCTGTAAGTATCAGTGTTATATTAGAGACCCTATAAAATGCAACTTCAAAGTCATTTTTTACCTAGCTTCAGCTCTTGACGAATCTCATCTGCTTCATTGATAAATGTCATAGTAGAGAATTTTGTATATAGTCACAAGTATCAACAAAATACATGAGTTCACTAACCCACACACAGCGGTGGGTCTCTGGCCCACTGTCCAGACACACAGCTGCTTGTACGGTAACCATGGATCCGGAATCCTGGATTACAGGTGAAGGTAACAAACAATCCTCCATACCGGAAAAACGTACGGCCATTTTCCAAGTGCCCGAAACCACTGCAGCCTTTATCAGCAACGCCTAAGTGAAAACCATCAGATATACTAATACACAAGCAGATTTATGAATGTGAAAAGATTAATTATCCTGTGACCTCTATCTCAATCAATATACTGTACAATGTCAATTACAACACATAAATTGATACCTGGAGTTAGTGTCCAGAGCTGGGACCAAAACACACACAGCAGTGCACCTCTCCAACCTAGCATGATTGAGCAAATTCCACCGTATAACAGAGGCTGTGGAAATCCTGAGAGTGTCAGACTGTAGATGAAGATCACTAAGGAAAACTGAACTCTAGAGAGTGGAGTCTTGAGCAAATGGACTAAAAAGATGAGGGGAAGGGAGAGAAAAGGGGAGGAGACATGAAACAGAATAACAGGACTTTAAAACCTCCTGGACATTCCTCTTTAAAACAGGATGAAAACAGAAACAGACAGTATGTTTTTTTTCTTGTTAAGGGGAGTAACAGCAAGTCAGCTCAGACGAAAACACTGCATAAAACCCAATATTTGTTTGTGTTTTTAGCATTAATACACTATTTTTTTATTTTTATTTTTTTATTTTATTTGTTTTATTTTTGTAATTTTTATTCATTTTTGCTTTATATTTATACTTTGTTTTTATTCATTTTTATTCCGTTTTAATTTGAGCAATTTTTAGTATTTTAACATTTGACTTTAGTTACTGTAGATGCCAATGCAACATATCTTTATATTTTTACTTTTTTGATGAGAGTTAAGAGGGTAGACAAAGTCTTTACAAACTGGAAAAACTAAACACTGTACTTAACACTATATGTGTAAAGATATTAAATGTGATTAGATTTATGGCATTAATATTTACATGTTAAGAAAAAACTGAGCATTCTTTGGAATTTTGCTAATTTACGACAAAATATTGTTCAATTGAATAATTAAATAATTGTTATATAGTTAGTCAAATCTATAAAGCAGGATACAAGGGGGTTGGTTCAGTGTTTACATAACCAATTTAAATGAAGTATGCGCCATTACTGGCAATTAATCTGTGGAAGAAAAAACTAAAACTTTTTGTGTGTCTTACCAGTCTTCCAGCAGGAAACACAGCAATATTTATTTAAAAAAAATACCCCCTCTATTTTAACCCCATAACATTTTTAAATAATGTCTGGTGATGGTATAAATTGACATTTTAAGTTTGTTAATAATAGATGTTATGTTGTAAACCACGCGCAAGATGCAAACAGAGTGGTTAATATCAGAGAAATATCTACAACAGAATGACTCACGACTCAAAGTGAAGTCACAATTATAGGGTTATGCACGGCTAAACAATTATTCTGCCCTTGTGAATTGCAGTGCAACACAATAGCTGTGACTGCAAATTTATCCCTGCATTTTCAGCATATTTTAACATTTTATTACACATGTATTTAGTTACTTATATCACATAAGTAAGATTAAAACCCCTCACCTTTATGAAAAATGCAAATCCTGGAAAACAGCGTAAAAAGATGTACTATGAGTAACTGCTTATTGTGTCCATAAGATGTAAAAAAATAAATAAATAAAGATGGTCCCAAAAATGATTTGGAATTCTTTCTTGTCTGTGATCTGATCATGCAGAATTAACCCTGCTGCTGCTCTTTGACATCTAGTTTATGAACCACCCTGAAAGCCTCCAGGAACTCATTAAAATCAATGCTGCCATCTTTGTTAAAGTCTATGCTTCGAGCCATGTCGTCTATCGCCTGGTCATTCACAACGACCCCCAAATGAGAACTGAAGAGCTTCCAGGTCTGACGAAACTCCTCGATGGAAATCTGACCTGCGCGTGAGCGTGGAGAAGTGCGTTATGATCAGCACACAATAACCAGCATTAAAATCTCATTGAACAAACAGGAAAACAGTGACACTAACCTGAGTGATCCTTATCAATGATGTTAAATATTATCTCTAGGTCAGTTCTATACCTATAAAGAGTTTCGGCCAAGTTTGGTGTTACCTAAAAACAAAAAATCAAGATTTTATTAACAAAGTAAGGCTGAATTGTCAAATACTATATTCTCAAAATAAAAGTCAAATACTATACTCTCAAAATAAAAGTCAAAATGAAAAATGGATGTTAAAGCTGGGCGCAGTGGGCGGTACAACATAAGCATAATGTGGTTAAAATTTGGCGACCAAATATTTCATATTGCCTGTTTTACAATGGCTTCAAATGACTCAGAGTTTAGAGTTACAACTATCCATTTTATAATATTAGTTTCACTATTATATTTCACTATTTACTACTATTTAGTATAATTCGTTTTTTAGAACAATTTTAAATCAGGTTCCAAATAAAAAGATAAATGAATCAATTAAGATTCATTACCTCTCATACATAAAGTATTTAATTTCACTGGATTACCCAAATATAAGCATTAAAGGCAAGGTAGGTGATTTGTTCCAGAAACATTTGATGTTATGCTGGTTGAAAGTCTCTTTACATCCTGATATCAATCCCTAAGTTAAGTGGTCTAAATGTATTTATATTTATATTTAGAAGGCGTAGGACCATAAAATGTACGTCCAATCATTAAATCCGGTCCGAATGCAATGGTACGCTTGCCTGCTCGTGCAGACATCACACGTCATCAGCATGTTTCATGCTATGAGACAGATGTCAGTCACAGTCCGAGCACTGCAATCGAAACAGCAGCCACTTTTTACAGTTCCTCCTGAACTAAAACGAGCTTACGCTGCGTTCACATAACTACTGTAATTTGTAAGAAATGGAAACCCGTGATGTTATACTCGGAGCGGTTCGTGACTCGAATTTATGCGTTTCAATGGTAACACAATCAACGCTGAAATTAATCTGCAGTCAATACAGGTCAGAGCTCTTTAAGTTGTTTATGTTCATTATTATTGTAATGCTATGTGCTTTGAAACAGTAGTTTGGTCATATCGCCCACCCTTACAGCCAAAATATAGATATATTTCTATGATTAAGATGGTGACCGGAGGGATGAGCTCTCCAAGGCTGATGTCCTCGAAACAGGATTTGTACTCCACGTTGCCATCCGCACCAAGACGGGCCAGGCGTGGGCGCAGGGTTCTCCACGGCAGATCCAATCGCAGAACAGACTCCACCACCTGAGCCCACTCGCTAGTGGAGATGCGGCCTGAGAAAGACAGATAAAACAACATTTTACTTTAGTTTAACATTTCAATTATAAATTAATGCAAAATATAACAATTAGTGCTGTCAAATCGATTAATTGCAAATGTCTGTGTGTGTGTGTATATAATATATACACACATATTTTGTAAACAAAAACTTTTTTATGTTAGATGCGATTAATCACGATTAATCGATTTGACAGCACTAAATATAATATAATATAATATAATATAATAACAACCTGTGTTGTCTATGTCATACTGTTGAAAGGCAGCCATCAGCTCAGAGCGGTGAGCATACAGCTTCTCTTTCAGAGCCCTGAGTGCTGAACCTTCTGCAACACGAACCCTAAAACAAATACGTTTATAAATGGGGACACTTCCTCATAACCTGACACACAAATTCATATACTCAACACCTATTTGTAACTGAAGGTAAGTGAGCGAGTTAGATTACCTCTGATGGAGGGTGAGTTTTCTGGTGCTTCGACTGACTTGATACTGGAAGAAGCGTGGGACGAGTTCAGGGCCCAGTTTGATATACGCTCCACGGTTACTGCCCTCTTCATAGTAGTTAGATGCAGAGAAAATAGTGATAACCTTGGATAAAAGGAAGACAATTGCCGAAAAAAAATTCTGGGACTAAAAATATACAGTATGAGTTTAAAAACCCCATGAGATCAACACTGAAGGGTTGTGGTCTTTCATCCATGTCTGTTTGATTTGAGGTCATCCATTTGTAAATGAACTGTTAAAAGTATTCGCAAATAGAAACATTACCGCCATTTTACAGGACAGTAACAGATCTCTTTTATGGGAAATTGGATGCATGCAAATATATATATATTCGTAAAGAGAAATACACTACAAAAAAATAAGAAGTGATGTTGGCGTAATTACAAAATGGATTATGTTTCTCATGCTTACCTGACCATTGTGGCAGAGCTCATAGCCCTCCTGTTTGCACTCATGTGACCTGATCAGCAGACAGAGGCCGTGTTTCTGCAGCAGCGTCTGGGTCACGTCCGGCCCAAAGTAACAGCCTCCACCACGGAAAGAGTTCAGACTGCAACCATTATGATTTTTAGGGTCACTCCAAAGGATATCGACAACCTGTATCAGACAAATTATGGCTATGTTTTCATTGTTCAAAATTTCTATAATAGGACTCAGAAAAATTATTTTAGAATAATTTAGAATTGAGCATAACTAGAACATTCGTTTACACTTTCTATTGACTATAGAAATACTACAGTAATTTCCATAACTTTCCATCAATTTTCCAGACCTGAAAAAGGAAACACTTTACAATAAGGTTTCATCAGTTAACATTAGTTAACTACTTTAGTAAACATTAACTAACAATGAACAATACTTCTACAAAATGTATTAATCTTAGTTAATATTAATTTCAACATTTTCTAATACATTATTGAAATCAAAAGTTGTACTTGTTAACATTAGTTAATGCACTGTGAACTAAAAATGAACGACAGTATTTTCATTAACTAATACAGTAACAAATGTATTGCTCATTGTTAGTGGATGTTAGTTCATAAATTAACTAATGTTAACAAATGAAACCTTATTGTAAAGCGTTACCAGATAACTTTATATTCCTTGGCTATGTGGTTCTCGGTTTCACAAAAAAAATCCCGAACCGCCATGCTCTTTTATAATTCATAAACAATTTTTTTGTGGAAGCTCAATAGGTTGGTGTAAAATTTTTACATCTCAGAACAGTTTTAAATGACCTCCAGCAAACTGAGTCATATTATGTACTGGAGCTTTACGCCAAATGGATTTCCAAGGCAGAACGGTTTCACATCCAAGATAGAAGCTATTTGTCACACACTCTCACCAACAAAAACACACATTTGTTAGGAAACGGTTCAACTCACTTGCTGCCATTCCAGTTCTTCTCGGGGTGGCTCGGGCGGCTCTAGGGAGACGAAGGAGTCCAAGAAAGGGACCTGGAGCACAGCGGTGGGGCTCGGCAGACTGGGGGAAGGAGGAGGTCGGCGTGGGGTGTTTCGTGACGAGACACGGGGGGAGCACATGGATGATGAGGAGGAAGAAGATGAGGATGAAGATGAGGAGCAGCTGCCCTGCTTGGTGCAGTGCTTCTTCCTCCTGCGGGAGGCACGACTGGTGCGGCCTGAGGTGTGAGGGCTGTCCAACCTGGATCTGCCGCTGTGTCTGCTGCTGCTGCGACTGCAGGCCCGAACGCTGAGATCATCAATGCTGCGTTTGGGCACCCTGAGAGCAGACTTCACCTGCAAAGTAAAAGGGATCGTCCTTTTTACATTATTCTGCTTATTACATGGATACTTACCAGATAAATAAATAAATACACAAGAACTATACCTTTAAACTGAAATTATTTTTATTATGTATAAAGAAAGACTATAAATACATCAAAGACAAATAAAAGACCTACTTTATGCCTTTCAACAGCGCTCAGAAAGTCCAGATCAGTTTTGTCCGATATGCCACCATGAACTATAAGGACTTTGTTGTCAATGACAGTTGCAAGAGGAAGCAGGCTGAACACATCCTGAAACACTTGAAGGATTTCCCTGCCATGAGTCTATTGAAAGATCAGGAAAAATGACTAAACATTCATTTAAATGTCCAGTAGATGGCGGTAATGTCTAATATTCAGAAGTGAACCTCACACTTAAAAATGACACAAGTTTAGTGTACAGTATATACCGTATATATATATATATATATATATATATATATATATATATATATATATATATATATATATATATATATATATATATATATATCATTTAAAATTAAATCAAATTTGATTTAAAAAAACAAATATCAAAAGTTAATTATAACAAATTAAATTAAACTTAGTTAATGAATATATATTTCAAATAATTTAGAGTTTAAGGAATCCCTTTTCAGCTCCCTTAAGGATTAAAATAAAATTTACATTTGTGTAAATAAAACTTAGCCATAATCAAATGATTATTACACATTCAACCTCTTAGTTTTGCATTAAACACCAACCTTAAGCACACATAAAAATCTACCTTGTACTTCTGCATGACTTCCTTTGTGAATCCGTATCTGCAAGAAGATAAAGAAGTTAACTCACCAACAGATATGATTTTTTTTAATCAGTTTTAAAAAAAAGATTGCTTTCTGAGGGCGTCCTACTGGCGGTGTGCCATTTCGAGAATATTTCGTTTTTCACCGCCAGGATTTATTGACCATGGAAGAGCTTTTGTTTGGTTTATTTAAAAGTCATACCTTCAGTAATCATTTGAATGTGTGATCTAGCATGTTACCTGAGGTTCATGATGTGGTCCTCATGATTGCCTCTGTTCAGATGCATGTGATCGGGGTAGAGCAGTAGGAAGGCAAACAGAATGATGATAATCTCTGTAGATTTCTTTCCTCGATCTACAAAGTCTCCATTGAATATGTAGGGGTTCTCCGCGGAGGGCAGACCGTTCTGAGTAAAAAGGCAATACATCTTAAATGTAATAAGTCACCAGCGATGCCCAAGTGGCTTTAATGAACTTATTCTCTGGCTTTGCTTAGGTACATTACCCCTGCACCAATATGCTGAAATGCAATCACTAGAAATGATATTCTACGTCTAAACAATCAATCTGCATTTACCTTGTAAAATATAAGCAGTAAGTCATCCAGGCTACCATGCAGATCGCCTGTGTGAAAGAGAAAAGTCGGCATACAAAAGCTGTTTATCATTCCAAGGAATAAAAAATCAAATATTGGGATCAGTGATGAAAATATGCAAAATAGTATAACGTGATATCTTTTAGAATATTCCAAGATGGGAATTCAGTTATTCATGCATGCTTTTCTGTACTAATTGAATCTGGAGCGCTGTCGAGTATGAAATGGTGCAGGTTAGCTGTGATGAGCCCATTGAGGTACTGTGAAGTGCTTTATGAAGTGCAAAATAAATAAGCACTCATTCATTCATGGTGCCATCACTTTTTCCCAAGCAAGATATCAGAAATTTAGCACATATCTCAAATGCACTGCTGTAACTTATCAGATCAACTGCATTTAAATGAATATTCTAGTATTTTACTAAACACATTGCGTCTCACCACAGATAGTTATCTCTTTGGCATAGGACGTCGACAGGTATATGACGTTTGGCATCTGTTTCAAAAACTTCTTTGTTTCATATAGTAACTGCAGCACATATTTCCCATGAAGAGTCTGAAAATGAGATGTAGTCATACATTTGCATGTTAATGCATTATTAACTTTGTTTGCAGTTCCTAAAATAGCTAAATGTTTATAATAGCAGAAAAAGATTTAAAGTTTTAGTTAAGCTTATGTTTAGATACTGTTTGTCAAAAAAATAATTGAAAAAAAAAATCTTGGAAAAAAATATATATACAGTAGCCTACCGTTTAAAAGTTTGGGGTCTGCAATTTTTTTTTTAATTATTAAAAAGATTTAATACTTTAATTCAATAAGGACACATGATAATGATCAAGTGACAGTAAAGACATTTATAATGTTACAAAAAATATATATTTACAAATAAATGCTGTTTTTTTATTTTCTATTGATCAACAAATCCACACAAAAAAATCTATCGCTGTTTCCGAAAAAAATATTTAAACAGTACAACTGTTTTTAACATTGATAATAATTAGAATTTTTTCTTGAGCACCAAATTAGCATATTATAATTATTTCTGAAGGGTCGTGTGACACTAAAGACGAGTAATGATGCTGAAAATTCATGAAAATTAACAAATTATAGAAAACTAATATTTGTATTTTTTATATACAGTATCTGCCTTGCACATTCGCCAATGGTCATTCAGTGTTAACCAAAAAAAGCATTCTGAGAATGTAAGGTATGATATAGCTTATATATAATGTATACATTATAATGTATACTATAGCACAATTTGGAAATCATTTCATGTTTGCTAGACAGAACTAAATAATGCACAAGATGATTTTGTTTTTTTCCAGAAGGCTCATATTTTGTTCAGACGATTAGTGAAAGTTTTATAGTGTTGTACCTGCTCCTCTTTAAAGGCACAGAGCAGGGCATTGGTATCAGTCACGCTCAGCGGGAAGGAGAGATGAGGGCCGCTGTACGACTCCGGCACCACAATCTGCTCGTACTTCAACTGCCTGACCTCCTCAGTTAAAGGGTCAACCACAGAGTCCAGGAGATGAGAGATCAAGTCTGGAGGAAACAGAACATGGCTGCTGTCATGACCATATGGGAAGTATAAAAGAAGAATCATATACAACAAGTGTCACATACAACTTATTTAGTATGAATAGGTCTTGCAGCAAAGCAATCACAACACAATTTTGTGGTACTTGAATGGTGGAAAGGGTTATGGAAAATGTATCATCTCTGGAATAACAGTCTATAAGACAAATTTAGTCATCGAATTAGTCCAACAAACCATTTAAAATTAAGTAGAAAAGGCAAAATGACATTAAAAATAATGAAAAACTAAAAGGAAATAGTCATTGTTGGTTATAGGAGACAAAGCAACCCATAACATTTTTAACCTTCTTCCCCCCAATTAACATGTCATGTGAGAACTATCCATTAGTATAATCTGTAAAAACATCAGTCTGATAAATTAATGTAAATGTGAATCACGAAACACTCTGGAACATCAAAAGGTTTGTGTTATTGTTAAGCATGGCTGGGCATGTCGTGGCAAAATGAGCACACAGGAACATCAATACAGGACAGGCAATATCTGTTTCAGTCTTCAGTTATTAAATAAATGATTAATTCTCAACCTGGAGTCTATTATGAAAGGCCTATTTTGATTGCCCATCAAAAAACCCAGCACACACGGTGCTATAACACAATGTACCACACTTCAATTTGCATAGCGTCTGGCCCTGCACAGGGATTTGAGGAGTGCTGACCCATTGTGTCATTCTTGAAAATGTAAATTTGCAGTGTTTCCCATAAATTTATGCAGAGAGACTTGAATTTCAGGAACAGATGTTTGTATTGAAGAGAGAGCAAATGTAGCATTATTTTTTTCTAAACTTGATTTAACCATCTACTGGAATCATTCCCCTTAGATTACTACTGATAAACAAGCAATATTAAAGGGATAGTTCACCCAAAAATGAAAATTCTGTTTTCATTGACCCTCAAGTTGTTCCAAACCTGTTCGGGTTTCTTTCTTCTGTTCAACACAAAATATGATATTTTGAAGAATGTTTGTAACCAAACAGTTGGGCCCTATTGACTTTCACAGTATTTTTTTTTTTTTTTTTTTGCCACACTTTAGATTAGGGTCCAATTCTCAATAACTTACTATATTAACTATGACTTTTGCCTCACTAAACTCCTAATTACTGCTTATTAATAGTTAGTAAGGTAGTTTTTAATGTTAGGTATTGGGTTAAGGGATTTAGAATATGGTCATGCAGAATAAGGCCTTAATATGTGCTTTATAAGTACTAATAAACAGCTAATATCCTAGTAATATGCATGCTAATAAGCAACTAGTTAATAGTGAGAATCCTAAACTAAAGTGTTACCAATAAATGAATACTTTAATTCAGCAAGGATGCATTAAATTGATCAAAAGTGGGAGTAAAGATATTTATATTACAAAATTCAGCCAAATGCATTTTTTTTTACTTTATATTCATCAAAGAATCCTTAAAAACAAATTTCCACAAAAATATGAAGCAGCACAACAGTTTTCAACAATGACAATAAAACAGCAAATCAGCAAATGCAGCAAATCAGCATATTAGAAAGATTTTTGAAGGATCATGTGACACTGAAGACTGAAGTAATGATGCTGAAAATTCAGCTTTGCCATCATTGGAATAAATTATTTTAAAATATATGAAAATAGAAAACAGTTACTTTAAATTTTAATAATTTACTTTAATATTACTGTTTTTACTGTTCACGTTAAATACAGCCTTGGTGGAGCTGTAAAGAAGAGACTTCTTTAAAAAACATAAAAAAAAATCTTGCCTTGTCTGCTCAGCACACAAAACCAGACCTTTCAATATTAAAGCTGCCGTCGGCAACATTTTTTTGATCATATTCAGTGAAATCGACACTATAATCTGACAGAAAAACATAAATAAAGTGGTTTTAGAAAAAAAAACGAGCTTCTAACTCCACCTGGAGCGTGTTATTTGTTTTGCAAAAATCCACAGCTCCCGGTTCATCATGTCCAATCAGCGCAGGGGGGTGTGAGATCTGCCACCCCCCAGATAGTAATGTGAGCGCCACCCCTCGCGCACGTTACAATCACACATGCACACGCCTGAAGTTCGTGGAAGTTCGCGCAGTAACGAAGAGTGATGGCGGAAAATCAAGTAAGCTCATTTATAGTATAAATGACGTTAGCAATTGCAATCTATCGGTAGATTAGCCAGGACAGCATACCTCCAAATACTCCATGGTGTTGATGGATGCTGATGAGACGGGCGCGTTCACTGAAAATCTGGTGCACACGCACTGACGAGCATGAACTCGGTGGGAGGGTATCCGTTGATAGTGGGGGAGGGGCATGAGAGTTGTAAACATTCAAAATTTTCCTAAATCCACTCAATCTGCCAGACTTGCCGACTGCAGCTTTAAACCTGAAGATACGCTTTACTATACTACAATAACAATTCCTATCCTTATCATCCTAAGAGCCACAGAAAAAAGAAGCTGAACCTGAAAACCACCCAATCCAAGCCCTAGATACATGATTACCTGACAAGACTAGTCTTGTGTACTCTCGGCCACTCAATGCGAACTGATGCAGTTTTCCCCAAAGGAAAGCCAATCTAGTGTCTTCACAGGCTAAAGCAGAGAACCCCCATGTAAAGAATATAAAATAGTGAAAAGAACATTCAGTTGGGTAAAACAATTGAATATTTATGCCCATGAAGTTCTCAGTACTATTACGTTTCTTCAAAAACATTGTAAGAACATTCTATGCAGAGTCTCTCTCAAGCTTCTCCTACTGTATTCTCTGTGAGCTCATTTGGGTTTCCGCTGCTTGACTAAAGATGAGACTAATTGTCTTGTGTAATTCTGCACTTTGGACAGCTGCCTGTGGAGGCTGGATGCTGCATTTCTGGCTCTCTCTGCATTACCACAACTCAAAATGGGATCTCCCAAGGTTGCTAAGCAACTGTGTCTCCATATAGTGTGTTTTTGGAATCATTGAAAGGATAGGTGTGTAATACTCAAGAGGGAGGCCGTTTGATGCAAAATCACAAGTGCTAGGGGTTTTCCAAAGGTGTGTTGAGGGACAGCCAAATGAATTAGAAATCACTAAATAAAAATCTATTTAGCAGTTTCAAACCAATGTAGCCTGACAAACCACCATGGCTCAACCAATAGAGTGAGTTCAGGGGACTGTTTTTCCGGCCAATAACAAATGGGAGCGTTTGAATTGTTTAGACATTTGGCGATGCGAAAACTACACACTTTACCTTTAAAGAAAGAAGCCTTTAAATACAAAATTTACAACACTTCATTCATTACCTGGTCCATTCCCATTTATCTGTGTGAAGTTGTCCAACATGAAACTGAAGAAACTGGAGAGCTATGAAAATGAAAAAGATGCAAACTCGTGTCATAATGAACCGTCCATTAATTTAGTAGAAAAGCATGTTTTAATATCATTAGAGAATAAACAACAACAACAACAACATCATTTAAACAACATCAGTGCAAGTTTATTAAAGGGATAGAGTCGTCCAAAAATGATGACAACATCTTTGGGTGAACTATCCCTTTAAGAGCAAAGTGAGGTATAGGTTGATTTGTTTTTTTTACATGTGTGGACTGGCCATAAGAGCCAAGTGTTTTTGTTACCTGTAGCTGGTCCTGTTCCCCTGCATACTCAATGGACTGAAAGATGTTCCACGTATAGCGTCTTCTCATCTCCAGGCGGGCAACATAGCGTCTGTACCAACGCTGGATGAGTATGGCAGCTTTTATGGCTAAATATGTTAAGAACACAAAGAATGCAAGTGGCTGATGTAAACAATCCTTGAAGCTATAGTTGTGTAACAACAATTTTTAGACATATACTAAATGGGAAATGCAGGCAATGGAGGTTTTTAATGCACCACAAGTGCCAGATTTTAAAAGCAAAAACTTATAACTGATTTGAGTGTTCTAATAAGGAAAAATCACTCATTTCTACCTGCATCCAAATAGATGCTCTGAGATTCGTAAATGTGCAACCACTGGACACTTTGCTATCCCGATGGGCAATGGGAGCAGCAGAGCTTTCAGATTTAAAACGTTGAAAAATTAAAAATGGCAGGGATTTTTTTAAAGTGTAAATGTAAGTGCTTTGGTATAAAGAAAGGTGTTCCTCATGGTTAAATGATACTTGTTTAACAAAACCTGAGTAAAGTAAAGAGAACATAAACATCAAAGGACAATGTCAACACGGCGGATGTAGCACTGTATGTCCGGGAAAGATTTAAAAATGTCTTGATTGCTCACATACAGATATATTAAGAATGAATGATTAAAACTAGTCCACAATAGCAACCCTGCAAAGATGTACTATTGCTACAGCTGATTTTCATTTGTCTTATCAGATTCACGTTACCATGCTATCATCATCATTCTTTAATGCTCATCGGTACAGGGACACTTGGATCTTTTACTGAACACTTGAGTGCAAAGACTGCTAAAAATAAACCTAGTCTCAGGGGGTCAATATCACAGGTGCTAATTAAAGAAGTGCAAGGAGCAGTTAAGGAGAAAGAACACAACACAGACGTCAGAGACAAGGCATTGCTAGAGAATACACACCCATAGAGAAATGATGGGCTGTGTTCGAGAAGGATGGGATAATTGCTCATTCATTGTATTTATTATAAATGATCACAAAAATGACATTTGTGGGTTTATGCAAACTGGATTTAAACCTGACAAAAGTCATGTCTGCTTAACCTAAAAAAATATGGTAAACTAATCTAGTTCGTACTTTCAAAAGTACATTTCTACATGGCTGAAATTGTGCGTTCATGCCATCTAGTACTTCTTTATAGCCACAAATGGGACACAGACAGTGATGACAGATGCTGAAGAAAGTGCCTTACTCAGAGCTGGGCTGGGCTGCTTGATGGAGCCATCTGTGTGAGAGGTGATTAAATTAAATTGAATCATTTGAGTAAAACCTTGGGGGTGGAAAAACTGGGGGGGGGAGAGGATAGAACTAGAGCAGTATTTTTCAACAAATAAATAATGCAAACTTGTTGAAACCAGGGTTGTTGCAAAGGGAAGAGGAAAGAGAGGTTAAGCTATATTGCAAATCACATTAAAGCAATATTGATATATAATCGATATTTACCTGTTTCAGAGGGTCGTGTTTGGTTCTCAACGGCAATGGATGTGCCGCATCCCATGATGGTACTGCTTGCTTCAGGACATGAATCTCTGAAATTCTTGAGGTTCTCTCTTTAGTATCCAGAAATGCCTGTGCAAAGAAATAATACAGAATGATTGTAACTGAAATAGCTTAAACCTTATCTGTACCAAGAAGACCGCAAACACAGGTTTGGGGGAACAAATATAATAGATTCACAGTTAGACTTTTTTTTTCTTTTTTCATTTTAGTTGAATACAAATTTGAATATTGAGAAGATGCATCCTCCTAGCTATTGTTACCACTATTAATAAAACAGACCTAATATTTAATTTCAGGGCTGTTTTGATCTTCATAATGATGTGGAATGGCATTAGAAAAAAGCAGCACTGTTTGGAACTAATCCATCATTACAATAATGTGTCTCTGTAGAATAAAGCAACACAAGATACTTACTGCAAATCATGCTGGACTTTAATCTGTGCCCCAAAGAGCCTTTCAAAAGGCCCTTTTAACAGTGATCAATCTCTGGGAGCGGGCACAGGGAGAGAGATGTAGACTGTTGATTGTCATCTTCACAGAACAGAAATATAATAATAATAATAATAGTTGACTGAAATATTTTGACTTAATTTCTTATGCCTCTCAAAATATGCTTAATATTTTCAAACGCTTAAATAGGTATATTTAAAAACATTACTTACACGGTATTTATTACTTAGCAACAAAAACGGCAGAACAAACAATCTTACAATTCTCCAATTAGGAGAGGAACGTAAACAACGCATAGGAAACGATATGCATAAGTTACCTTCAGTTCCCGTTGTCCACCATTCAGTACGACACGCATACGTTGAGAATTAGAGTGGGAAAGACGTATGATGAAAAATCAAATATTCATTTCCAAACGTGAAGGGATGCGATAGATAAACATCACAGGTGTCAGATGAGGCTAGCTTGCATGAAACGCAGAGGCGGTTTGTTTGACGATTTGAGAACACCTCTCTTTTAGTGATTCGTGCGAGTCTTGTGGGGGGTTTGGTTCAGCCCTGTGACTCGAATCATTTGGATCAGTTCAGCTAAAAGATTTGTTCACTAACCCTTTATGCAGTTGCAACAATAGGTGGCGAACAATACAGTACATTTTTGAGTAGTCAGTGAATCATTGTAATGTCAATAACTGAATATGTTATCGAGCCAAAGAAAAATAAAACATTAATAGTCTCTGAAAAAGTCCTTGCCTCATTAAATTGTGTATCAGTTATTCATAATTCTTTTGTCTGCTTCATATTGTGAACAAGATTGATTCATGTGAAGAAATAAACGTTCAGTCTGTAGATCTTGTTGAACCATTCTTTCACGATCAGTAGACCAATTAATTAACATCTTCGGAACAAAAAGGATCTTTTTGATGCGGTAAATCTGAGAGCTTTCTGTCCCTCTGCAACCTGATGCTTCAAAAAGTTAATAGAGAGATTGTAAAACTAATCCATTGAGTGTTTAGTTCATTTTTTTGTTATAACGAAGTTAATGTTGAAGAGACAGATATGATCGCTTTATATGATGAACATTGAATTTAGGCTTTTATTCACATAACCTATACAGCAAACCTTTACTGAAGCTCAACCAACCCTGCTTGTTGGCATGCGAGAACAACCATAAATGTCCAACTTTACAGCAGAAAAACAATGCTTACAGCCTGGTGCAAAAAGTGGTTTTGGTCTATATAGCTGATTTCCCTTCATGACAACTGTGAGGGGGGTGAATTTTGTTTTACAACTAATATTTAGAATTTAAATTGTCTAAAATTAAGTTTGCCCAACTCAATTTAAATTGTTCAAAATTAAGTTGGCTCAACTCAATAATTAATATTTAGAATTAAATTTTTCAAAAATTGAGTTGGCCCAACTCAATTTAAATAGTTCAAAATTAAGTTGGCTCAACTCAATGATTAATATTTAGAATTTAAATTTTCGAAAATTAAGTTGGCCCAACTCAATTTAAATTGTTCAAAATTAAGTTGATCCAACTCAACAATTAATATTTAGAATTAAAATTTTCCAAAATTAATTTGGCCCAACTCAATTTAAATTGTTCAAAATTAAGTTGGCCCAACTCAATCAATAATATATAGAATTTAAATTTTCTAAAATTAAGTTGGCCCAGCTCAATTTAAATTGTTCAAAATTAAGTTGGCCCAGCTCAATTTAAATTGTTCAAAATTAAGTTGGCCCAACTCAATAATTAATATTTAGAATTTAAATGTTCTAAAACTGAGTTGGCCCGACTCAATTTAAAGTTTCCAAAATTGAGTTGGCCCAACTCAATAATTAATATTTAGAATTTAAATTTTCCAAAATTAAATTGCCCCAACTCAATTTTTATTTACTATTTATGTACTTTTTATGTAACACTAAAAAGTTAAATAAGCATATCTGTTCTGTGAGAGCGGTACCGCATAACGAGTGTAGTCTCTATAGCTATCTATAGACGTTTTTAAATCTAAACTCCAAAAAGCAACAAAATTATCAGACATCCATTAGTGCATGTTCGCAGAGGAATCCAACTGAAGTACAGCGCTGAATCAGGGTATCTTCCGTCCATTTCATTTCCAATTTGAAATGAAATAAGAAAAAACGAGAAAATGCACCTTTATTAGTTTTTTCGTTTTTTATAAAAAACGAAAAAAAAGAGATTTCGGCTTGATTTTTCGTTTTTTTTGGTTAACGGGTCAAAAACGGATAAATGACTTCAAAATCAGTTTTGCACATGTGGGCGGTCATGAGACGCCCCTTTCAGCCGATTGGTCAAGCAAATCTGAGCCTGGGACGTCATCATTAATGTCCCAGGTCTTTTCAACAAAATAATAGTCCTATGGCTCTGCGTACCGCTTCTTAAACTGTACAGGGCTGTGCAACTTTATGCGTTTCACAGAATTATTTATTTCAGAAATATTAAATATTAATCTGATTCTGCACCCAGCTGGTTTTATTTAGCTGTGCAGAGTTAAATCTGTGTAGTGCTGCACTAGACCGCGCAGAGCGGGTGAAGCATAGACCAATGTTCTGTCAAGTGTAAATACGCAGCAGTCATAATAACTCTTCTTTTAGACAATACGCTCAGTTTTGGACAAGGGGTGGCCATTGCAAATACTGTAATGCAAAACTGCTGATGGTGGTAGTGGGTACCGATGATGGTAAATTAAAATGTAACTAATCATAGCCGCGAGAGTGAGACAGCGAGATGATTGACAGGACGATAGCGGAGGAAAAAACTCAAGATAGCCTAACGTGTTAGTTAAAAATATTTCTTTCTTTAATATAAGTGAGTTTGTATCTGAAAACAACAACAAAACAATAAAATAACAGTGTGGACCACAAACTGAGCGTTCATTTTAAAGGGAAATTTCCAAATATCTAATATTTATTTGTTATAATGTTGTTGTTTTATGCATTTTATACATTTTATGCAAAAGTAGGCCTACTATGCTATTACTATACTATTTTATTGTATATATACCGAGGCACTTGATAAATCCAATTAGAAAGCTAAACAGTTCTAAGCATGAACTCTAGCAAGATCATTTAAGATTTTCATTTGGGTTTATGAAGTGCCTCTGTAAATATACATAGGCTACACATTACATTCTTTATGGGTATAGAGTTCATGGTAGCCTACTAATTGCATAAGCTCCTGTGGTTTTGATGGAATACATTTTATTGACGCATGCATGTTTCTCATTTTAATTTTTTGATTATACAGCCATGATTATGAGTAATGCCACCAAATTTAAATAAACTGAGACCAATGCAACTGAGTTAATGTATCCTGTTTTTATGATATAATTATGTAATTGGCTTATGGCTGACTTGGCGCCACCTACTGGCGGTCTTTCATATTGAAAGTATTGTTACATGTAACTTCATATTTTTCATCACTAGTGGACTGCCGAGTCGCGTAGGGCTGCTGCTGGGCGCTGGTGTTGCAATGGAACGTTCTATTGGCTTTCACTTCTTGTCAATATACGTTCTTTGGTTTCGGTTCATTTATGAGAGGATCTCCAGTTCACGCGCCGGCGCCTCCTGGTCGTGATTATCTACTGCTATATTTACTTCTTATTTATTAAATCCAGGCAATTGGTTGATGAAACATTGATTAAAATTAAGATACAATTAATACAAAACGAAATTCACTTTAACGAAAGGCTTTGTGCTTTCTGTTTGAGGTCTCTGTAAACGTTTTAAAGTCTTTTAGTGCCGCTTTCAGAGCGGTCACGTCCGTAACGGAGAACTGTCACGTCCATAGCATTGTTTTTTCCCCATAAATGCAAACACGAAAAATTAAATAAAATTAATATTTTATGTTCTGTGGAGAGCCCACCCTTCTTCATCCGGTGGGTATTATTACCTTTGGTTTGCGCATTGTAAATCACAGAATTACTAAAACATATTTTGCCACCTAAAAGTTAAATATTTTTTGTGTCACGTCCGTAACGCATGTGTATTTCATATTAAATATAAAACGCATGTGTATTCCCCCTTATATTAAATATAAAACGCATGTGTAGACTGATATTTTCTAATGTCTGGACTCCTTTATTAAGGAGTGATAAAGTAATAAACATTTTTTGTTTTGTTTTATTTGTAGGCTACTACAAAGAGTGTATATATTTGTTATTTCTTTTTGGTAGTGCTTAACAAGCATAATTTAATTTTGCCCAGTTGTGGTCTGTTGAGGGGCAATAAATATCAAAGGTCTCAAAACATCTATTGTGTTAGCCTATTTGTATCGATCCACTATAAACATTATCTACATGGCATTTGATTGGAGGCTACTTTGTCCCACGGCAACATTAAAATAGTTTAGATTTATGTACATTGTTTCTGTTGAGTGTCCATTTCATTATAATATTCAGGTTTATCGTTAATAATTGAACATGCACATGTGGGCTATTTTAAGTTCCGTTAAAGAGGGGTGGAGGTGGGGTTACATTTGACCATTTAAAAATATACTTGAAAGTAACGCAATAGTTACTTTCAGAAGTAACTAGTTACTTTTATAATTTGTAACTGAGTAACTAATTTAGTTACTTTTAGGAAGTAGTGACTAGTAACTGTAAGTAATTACTTTTTTTAAAGTAACTTGCCCAACACTGATTATAACAAATAAATAAAAGATATTTGGAAATGTCCCTTTAAAATGAACGCTCAGCTCAGTTTGTGGTTCACACTGTTATTTGATTGTTTCTTTGTTGTTGTTGTTTTCAAATACAAACTCACTTATATTAGAGAAAGAAATATTTTTTTAACTGACACATGTTAGGCTATCTTGAGTTTTTTCTTCCGCTATCGTCCTGTCAATCATCTCGCTGTCTCACTCTCGCGGCTATGATTAGTTACATTTTAATTTACCATCATCGGTACCCACTACCACCATCAGCAGTTTTGCATTACAGTATTTGCAATGGCCACCCCTTGTCCAAAACTGAGCGTATTGTCTAAAAAAAGAGTTATTATGACTGCTGCGTATTTACACTTGACAGAACATTGGTCTATGCTTCACCCGCTCTGCGCGGTCTAGTGTAGCACTACACAGATTTAACTCTAAAACGAATAAAGGCACGTTTTCTCGCTTTTGCTTATTTCATTTCAAATTGGAAATGAAATGGATGGAAGATACGCGCTGGTTGTTCTCTTCATACTCCACAATGATGGAATACTGAGGCGTGGGGCAAAGTAATGGGTGTATTAAATTGTATGAAATAATCCCGGAAAAAAAGCACAAACACAGCAGAGATGGAACGTTCAGCAGCTGGAATTAGCTGAGGGTGATTGGTCCGTGTACTTTTTGATAATTTAATTTCCTGTTTGGAATGGAATAACGAGAAATGAAAACCAGCTGGTTTATTCGTTTTTTAGTTTAGTTTAAAAAACAAAAAATTTGATTTTGGCTTGATTTTTCATTTTTCGTTTGTGGTTGCAAATCGGTTTATGGGTTTGATATTTCATTTGTACATGTGGGCGGCGCTGAAACGCCCCTTTAATCTGATTGGTCAAATACGTGTTTACACGACAGTTTCACGCGGTTTGGCTCTATTAGCCTTCTACAGTTTCACACATTTTGGCCTTTTTGGGCTTCCATACACGTCCCGCCTCTTTGTCCATTTTCTTTTATCCAGGGGAGTGGCGAGAGGTGACGCGCTGCTAAGATGGTGACGTCCGGCCACGCCCACTTTAGGCTTCAAAACGCTACGGGTGACGTCACGGACACTACGTCCATTTTTTTTACAGTCTATGTGCGTAACACCTGCGTAACACACAAGAATGAACCTCATTAGTTCTCTCATGTCAAGCAAACATGCTTGAGCTTCCGTTTTACCACAACTGATGCGCGAGTTGATGAATGTTTATGAATTTAAAGCCTAAATTCAATCGGTTCATGAAGCAATCGTGTCTCGTCAAAAAATGCTCAATTCGTTTTAAAAAGATTAGTTTTACAATTATACATTTTTTTGAAGTATCAAGGTGAAGGGCTAATTGCAGCTGCCAAAGACAGAAAGCTTTTAGATTTAATCAAATCTTCATTTGTTTTCTGAAGATGAACAAAAGTCCTACTGGTCTGGAACGACATGAGGGTGATATGACATTTTTGGGTGAACTATCCTTTAACAGCACACATTCAAACTCAATCTTTGAAAGCAGAAAAAACAGTCTCACGCTTTAAAACAATAGACACTTGAGCACATTTTTATTATTAAAAGTAAACACGTGAAATTAAGAGCATAGAAAAATTCTAATGAAATACTAAAACTAATAAGTGGCGATGTCCGGCAGTAAAACAAATAGGCCATCCATAAAATGTTACCGCCAGTACAATAAGCAGACATGGGCCAGTTTAACAAAATTATTTTTATTTCAACAAATAAATATTTACAAATCAACTAAAATGGTTATACATTAAAAAGCTTCGATTAAAAAGACTCAATGTTCAGGCGCCAGCCAGAGCGGCTGGGATTCTGCGGCGTCTCAGTTGATTCCAGGCCTCCAGAATCTCCCTCCGCGTGATGATCCTGTGGCGGCTGAAACAGGAGAGGCGCGCGGCCTCTAACCCCACTCTCTGCAGCAAATATCTGCTTACACCCCTGGACTCATGGACGCGTCTTTCTGCTGCCTGGTTGATCTGTGGAATTCAGTTTTATGTGCAGTCATTTACAACCAATGCTGTTAAGTCAATTGTGTGGGCCTATAAAACACACCTGTTTTTGTCGGACCGTGTACATGAACGCAGCGTGTCCTCTTGTTCTTGCTATGGAGCTTCTAGATGCCGCGCATCGCTTGCTTTTAAGGCCAGGAGCTTTCATGATGGACAGAGGAGTGTGTGATCAACAGTCGCTGAAGCGAAACTACTATTTAAGGTATATGTAATCAGTCCCCTAATGACTACACGCAGGTGCATGCCTTAATTGGACTTGAATTAAGTCCAATTGAGTCAATCGGTCAATTCAATTCACATTTATTTGTATAACGGTTTTCACAATACACATCGTTTCAAAGCAGCTTTACAGAAAATGCATGTCTACTACAATTTAGGTATTTCAGAAATGTAGCTATAACCTACAAATCACGCATTTAGCAAACAATGTATTAATTTAAATTATATTAATTTGAGGGAGAAACAGTGAGCTCATTAAAGTAATGAATAGGCCTACATGTTGTTAACAAATTATTAGGATTAGGTCAAATCAATAACACTGAAACACAGATAAAACGCCCTTCACCATGCAACCATGAACTTTATCTTAATCTTATTTCAGCACATTTTCTGAACATCAGCATTTGTGAGATTTGTTCCATCTGAACAGTTGATCTTCGATCAATTATTTTTCTTTCTATAATAGTGATCTGTGGATTTATATCACAGAGAATATAATAGTTTTATTTATGTTTTTGATGGGTATTCATGGGCACAACACTTTTTTTTTTTAGTGGAAATGTAAAATTAGACAATTGGGGTAAGATGAAAGACCATGATATATTTGTTATTATTTTAAAATAATTATTCAATAATAACCATGAATACAATTAAATCATAAATGTTTATATTATATAGAAGTAAATTATTTAAATATATATATTAATAATAATTGCATAAATGATGCAAATGTTTCATATCAGCAAATGCTTATTTCCCCTAATAATATATTGAATCAATGTTGCATCATCTTATGCATGTACATTTACTGATAAACTTGGTGCCTCTACCGTGTTGCTATTCATGTACATGTTTATATATTGACAATTTTTATGTATTTCTATTCATTTATTTGAGTCTAGTATCCAAATGAACTTTTGGACTTCTGTTAAAGGAGTGGATCTGGATCCAAGTTGAGGATTAATAAATTGTAACATACACAAGAGAGAGACGTTCTTTATTCAATGGCATTGTTTTTCAGGTAAGCCACAAATACAATTAAACAATGTAGGCTCATAATAAATATACAAAAAGGAATTGGTCATATCAGTGGGAATAAAACACCATCACAAACCACATCAGAACTCAATAACAACATTCAGTACAACTCCATGCGATGTCCCCCTTTATATCTGATTTGCCAAAGCAAAACACTTTTTTGTTCATAAATCGAATACAAAAGGACATGAAAAAAAAAACTCTTTATTTGTGAAGAGAAAAGGAAAACATCTTCAACACAAATGAATGCAACTATAACACATTCTAATGATCATTTCCACCTTGAAAATACCATAAAATAAAATAAAAAAGAAACAAGTGCAGTGATTGGGCAGTGATGTTCACTTTGTCATGTTGTGATACAAGAAAGGGGGCGGTACAGGAAATAGTTGGGTATGATTTTGCTGGAATGTGTTCCAGATCAGGTGCATTTATTCATGCAAAGTAGCAGCTCCATGCGGATGGCGATGCGAGTGTGCCAGCCAAGGGGGAGGATACGGATGTAACGGGCTACAATAGGTGGACGCAGCAGGTTCTGGACTGTGGAAGAACGGTCAGAGTTTCCATAGAACATCTGAGGAAAAAACAAGTAAGTGTAGAAAACCAATAAAACCGAGGACTTGAACTTTAGAGTACAGGTTGCAATAATATAATATTACAGTGAAAATGGTTATGTAATCCTTCAAAAAAAAATAGGTCATGTGATTTTCGTCATTATTCCAGGATGGGCTGTTTGTCTTCTTACCCTGTTGTTTCCAGTTTGGTCCTTGTAGTAGATCCAGTTGAGTTTCTCATTGGTGCGGTACTGCACAGTGTACTTGGTTACCCACTCATCAGAGTCACAGCGTCCCTGGGTCAGGATCCCAGAAACCACTTTGATCTCCTTCAGGTCAATCTGAAGCCACTGGTTGGTATCCTGGAACTTAGACAGCCAAGCACACCTGGGACAAGAGAGAGAGAAACACAATCTATGTGCAAACGTTGCAGTCAAAGTTTCTTCAAGACCAAAATCTCTAAACCTGTTCGGTCAAGATAAGAATTTGGGGTTGGTAAGATTTTTTTAAATGTTTTTGAAAGAAAGTCTCATGCTCACCATCATTTGATCAAAAATTTTTTTTTTTTTTTAAATAACAGTTTTCTATGTTAATATATTTTAAAATGTAATTAATCCTTTGATGACAAAGCTGAATTTTCCACATCATTACTCCAGTTTTCAGTGTCACATGATCCTACAGAAATCATTCTAATATGCTGGTTTAGTGCGCAAGAAACATTTATTATTATTATTATCAATGTTTAAGACAGTTGTGCTGTTTACTATTTGTGTGGGAACTGTGATAAAAACAATCAGGATTTTTGATGAATAGAAAGGTCATTATTTAAAAGCATTTAATTTAAATAGTTTTTTTTGTTTAAATGTATTACTGCTACTTTTGATCACTTTAATTAATCCTTGCTTAATCGAAGTATTAATTTCTTTAAAAATCTTACTGACTCCAAACTTTTGTTGGAGTAATTAATAAGTAAATATTTATTAATATAGCACTTTTTAAAACTGTAAAACAAAATAAGACAATGAATTAATTGAACTAAATGGATTGGAAAATAAAATGCAGACCATTTTCAAAAATGGTGTAAAAACAGTTTTCACTTCACAGATATTACAAAGAAACGGCAAGTAACACATTGAATTAAACATGAAATTTTAAAATATAGACTAAAAATAGTGTTTTCTTGTATAAGGTAGGCTACTCCAATTATCCTTGTTTTAATTACAACTTCGAAAAATCATTTGGTTCAAATGTAGGATTTAGTTTGTTTGTTTTTTAAAAATGTTTTATTTATTGTTAGAACAGTGTTAAATTGTTTAAGGGACGTGTGGATTTAGCAGTAAAATCTGGAGAGAAAAAAAAAATTCACCTTTTTGCCTGATCCAGTCAATGATCAGCCTTATAGAGTAAAAAAAAAACAATGTTTCTCTCAAAAAGGCAATAGCGGCCACACTAATGTTTCAGAGAACTCACCCAAACCCTTGGCTGTTGAGTCTTGCCTTGCTTGCAATCCAGGAGGAGAACCAGCCTGTGTACTGGTCTTCATTAGAACAGCTCATCTGATCTGAAGTCACAGATCCTGCCTCAAAACCCAGGGGCTTATGGTAGGGACACTCTGGACAGACAATTGAGAAGAAATATTAAGAATAGATTACATATAATTCGAAGTGAAAGTGTAAATATGCAGCCGCACAATTTTCTGGTTTTCTGACTCTAAAGGTAGTTCTGAATGACCAAAATCTATGGACAGACCCATTCAACACAAGCCTGCAGGATGTCCAACATGTCTGACAGACATTAGTCACGCGATCAGAGATTTCTTTGTCAAGCTGCGTTAAAGGGAAATGGACAAAGCGTTAATCTGGCGGCTCTGTAATTCTGTGCTTCCATTCTTATGCGCGTGACTTTACAATCCCAAAAGCTTCAGTTCCGCATAACGAAAGATCAACATCCATTAAGACTAGGTTGACAGATGGTCACGTTTCTACACTTAAGCTCCAGTCCTACGGCAATGTCTTTACATAACAGTCCCTGTTTTCAAGGATTTAGGATGCTCTTTTTGACATGCCCACTTCTGGATTTTGATTAGAATGAAATCAAGCGAAAATAAAAGGCATTCTGATTCAGCAATCATGAATTTTGTGCTGAATTTCTTCTTTTTCAGAGAAAAGGTGTTAATACACTTAATTGTCAATAGTTTGATTGACAGGTCCTATTCTTGGTAATCTCAACAGAACAGGATTATGAACCTGCATCCTTTCCATCACTGTGATTCTTAAGTCTTTATTTTATTTTTTCATCTCAACTCTCCTCCCTTTCATTTGATTCGAACTAGTGCTGGGCAACGATTAATCGGACTAATTGCATCCAAAATTAAAGTTTGTGTTTACATAATATATGTGTGTGGATGGTGTATAATTATGTTGTACATATAAATACACACATATGCATATGTATATATTTAAGAAATATTTGCATGTATATACTGTATATATATACATTATAGGAAAAATGAATATTTTATACACAGTACACACACATACTAGTTTTTATTTTGGATGCGATTAATCGTTGTCCAGCACTAATTCTTACACACCAGTCTCTGAGGATTCAGAACACGAGCTGCTCTGTGTTAATGGAGCATGTCTGCCCTGTGGTGGTGTGCCAATGGGATGCGGTGATGGGACACATGGCCCAGGTGAAGCTGCAACCGAATGAATAATGACTTTCTGCACCGCTGACCGGGAGCCAGCTCATTCGCACATGTCCTGCCTTCTGTTTCCAAAGGGCACCGGCTAGTGCCAACTATAATCCATCCATCTCAATTCCCAAAGAGTCAATGTTAGCGCAAAGCACCGTTCAGAAGTGTCACTCTCCTGACAAAACGAGCATAAAGGATTTCAGTGGATTCACAATTCACCCTCAGCCAGTAAAAACAGTAATCTACTATTTAGGTAATGAAGGAAAATGATTCATTATACGGACACATTTTGAACCAAAACACTCACTTATTCCTGTCACAATTAGTGCTTAGAAAAAAAGATTATTTGAATGCATTTTTCTTCCATATTTCATTCTTACCTGGCATGCAGTCCATCTGCTGCGCCCAACTTGAAGAAGAACCTTTGGAAAGCAGTTTGCTAGAGGATTCATCGCAGTCACACTTGCAGGATTTCTCAGCCCATGTGTCGTTGCCCTCGCCATCCTAAGCACATATCAACATGGTCATCAATATTGTGTCTTATTTGTCTCTGCCAATATCAAATGTTTTTAATTACCTCTTGCGCTTGCAGCCCAACAAAACCTGGGCAAAATATGGGAGAGTAAAATACCATTATCACATTCATTGGGTCATTAACACATACGGCTAAATGAACGGTTGAATAGACTTTAAATGCACATTATACAACCATAATTCACAATCATTTTTGTTGATATATTTAGATAATCGTTAACATATTTTTTTCAGTGTTTATTTTCTTTAAATCTGATGCACTTTTAAAATGTAATCAACTTCTGTGAATTTAATCTCTGCTAATTTAGTGAAAATAATGGAACACAACAGCACATACCTTCAGACACCAGCAGGATGGCTATCAGTAACGTGTTCTGCAGTCTGTACTCCATGATGGTTTATTTTTCGAGTGGTGGACCACCGCACTGATATTAAAGGGGCTGGATTACTGTAATCCACAGAGCACTAATGGCCTTATCTAATGCCCTTTATCTCAAAGCTCCTCCCTTTACTGCTAAAAGCTAGTTTGAAATTGTTCACATCCCAGTCCGACCCTTGTCTTTTAAAAAAAGAGAGAAATAGCCAAATGATCCCAGATTTTAAAGCCGGACGGTCACCTTCTGTGACCCAGTTAATGGTTCAATGCATACAATTAACTCAATTCAACTTCTCAGGCAATCTGTTGATGCAAATCACTACATACAATATGCCATTTCATGGAGAGATCAGTTGAAGGCTGCTTTCTTTCTTTTCAGTGTCGTCTTTTCTGTGTCATGATCATTTTACAAGTCTCCATTGTTTTATTATTATTGATCATCTCAAAGGCATGAGTTTTTATGGTGTTTGCAATGAAATGACACATGCTAGAACATAGTTGGGTAGACATTGTTTTAATTGTTTTTAATTACAGCGGAATATACATTATAAACGCTGTTGGAGTCAGACATGCCTGGACTTAAATCAAACAACGTTAGGGTGCTGTTTCCCACTTGTACCCTAAAGAGAACACACAGACAAATAGTCTTCACAAAAGACATAGACAAAGTGCTGAGTGAGTGGTGAGGATTATGTTTGAGCTAAATGTTGTGCATTGGTGATTAAAAAAGAAAAAGTTATAAGCTAATAACTTTCAGTTTACAGACTCAATCGATTGAATAGATGCAGGCCCAGACGGAATCTGCAGACTTTTATCCCATTTTCTGTGCTGATTTTAGGATGGAAATATAAATGCATGTTAAACATAATTGAAAATACAAGACGTATCCGTAAATGAAAGCAACATTTTAGCAGTGAGGGATGTGAAGAACACTGAAGATTCTGCGTGGGCCTGATAGATGTAACAAAAGTGATGGCTGTTGTCTAAAATGGAAGTCACATTCTGATTGGTTGGATGTTTTGATGACTACTGTTTGTTATTTATGTCAATCCTGTCAAGCAGAAGGGGTACAATTTGGGTATGGACCATGTTCTCAATTCAGCAAAGAGGATTCAAACAGACTGCGAAAACTTCAACATATAATAGGAACAGTCTTAACATTTAAATAAGACAAAAACAGATGCCTTTCTTAGTACATTCTATGACAGACTCAGTAGTCAGTCCACTAAAATAAAGAGAGTGAATTCACGGAACAGACAAATTGAATGCTCACATGACAGAATAAACTCTTTTGTTCCTGATAGATTGTAAACCTTTGGCCTTACAAGACTTCACAATGGCTTTAGTTGGCACAACAACTGCTTCAGACAAAAATGTGGCAGTGATTTCAATACTTAAAGGTGGAATAAACATTATGAAATGTCCAAAGTAGAAAAGAGAGTCCAATTTTCGATAACCATGAAAGATGCAAACTGACCACTGGGCCATATTTGCATTAAAAACTTACATTCTTATGCAGACATCAACATTTGTCCAATGGTAAACAGACACAAGAGTTCAATACATTACATTCTAAAAGGACAGAGCTTTTACTCATTGCCAAGCCACAGGAAAAAAGAAAAGAAAGAACAGCCATACGCAAATATGAGATTGACTAATTGTCTAATATATTTCATCTATCCTGTGGGATGAACCTGAATGTTTATATCCCTGCATTCAACGGCTGACACTGAAAAGCAAATGGGCATCCTCTCTGGATGATAGATGCTACAAGCCAATATAAGACGAGTGTCTATGGCTATTAAACCATGACAGATGAGTTGTCAGTACCTGCAGGTATACTTTAGTATGGCAGTGAACCAAGAAACACTCAGAAACACCTTCACAATATCATTTAAGGCAGTCAAAACCCTGCTCATTCAGTCAGAAGGTGAATAGAGGTAAAGTGGGACCAATTTGTCAGTTGGTAAAAAAAAAAAAAAAAAAAAAAGGTTCCAAATGGCTAACAATGTTCATATTCATTTATGGTAGAATATATAATAATAGATGATTAAAGGGTTAATTCGCCCAAAAATAAAAATTCTGGTGTGCACTGTGCACATGAACAGCGTCGGCCAATAATGAGCCGGCGTTCTGACGTAGAACCAGGAAGCGCTGCACTGTGTTTACAACGTGGAGACTGACATGGAGTTGAATAAAGTCGTTATTTAAAGTCATTTTTTGGATGAACTATCCCTTTAAGCTTAAATGTCCACTTCAATGTACGATTTTGTAATGTTTTAAAAAGCTTATGCTCACCAAGGCTGCATTTATTTGATCAAGAGTACAGTGGAAACAGCAATATTGTGAAATATTATTACATTTTAAAATAACAGTTTTCTATTTTAATATATACATTTAAAAATGTAAAGCTGAATTTTCCGCAGTGAATTTTTCCACTCCTGTCTTCAGTGTCACATGATCCTTCAGAAATCATTAATATGCTGAAACATTTCTTATTATTATCAATGTTAAAAACAGTTGTGCTGCTTAACTTTTTTTCCTTTTCAGGATTCTTTGATGAATGGAAAGTTTAAAAGAAACAATCTTAAGTCTTTACTGTTAGTTTGATCAATTCAATGCATCCTTGCTGAATAGAAGTTTTCTTTCAACAAAAAAAAACAAACTGAATGAACCCAAACTTTAAACTGGTATTGTATATTCACCCTGGCTATATCACATGACTATCAGGCTCCGTTTCGACAGAAATGTTGGTAGACGCAGCCCTTGGGAGATGAGTTTTCTATTTTAACGCTTAAAACTAGCTTTCGTAATATTTGAATCTCTAGGGAAGTGTTATGTTTTGCCCTGATATTCTGTTAGCATGATTCCACGCCAATCAATTTAAAAGTAAAAAAAAAAAAAAGTGAAAGTATATCAAAATCAAAATAATGGTGCTTAGCAAACAAAAGAAATTCAGATTCAGTGACATTCTACATGTTTTTTTAGCAGGTTAACAAAGCCAGTCATAAATTACCATTCGCAGGCGACCTCACCACAGCTGGCGACAACCAAACAGTTTATCTTGGCAGTCCTAACAGCTGGCTGATGGGAGGATTACCTGGCACCACGGAGACAGACTGTGCCAACGTACTGCAGATTAAAGGATGTCAGAGCGTTTATGGACAAGGTGTTAATCCAGTAGTGATGGAATCACATTCTAATACTCGGGTATGGTGAAATACGATGAAATCGGCAGACCACATTACTCAGGAACAAAGTGATTCATGTCACTAAAAGTAACCTGAAAACAAGGAAACGAAAAGTTCCAGAACGAGCATATAGAAGATTAATTTCTTCTTACAAAACAAAAGTCAACAGTTGCATGGCAGTTTAACCATGAAAGACAACACAGCAGTTTAACAGAACATAACTTAACATAATGACTGAACCTGATTGCTGTTGCTAAAAAAAAAAAAGATCTACGTATAGCACACTGAAATAGTGCAGAGACAACAGAATCAACAAAGATATAAATACAGATAATTAAAAAAAAACTGACTGTATGATGTAAATGCCAATAACTGTAAAAGTCTATACAGGACTGAATTAGGATTATTCATGTTCAAGATACACATTCAAGTACAGCCTATACAGTATGTACCTGTATAGACTGTACTTGAATGTGTATCCTCAACATGAATAATCCTAATCCAGTCCTGTGAAAGACAAAGCTCATGTACTGTAAGTAGATAAGGTAGAAGATTAGATAGATGGAAAGTTCTGTTTTTAATCAAACACCATATCAACACAAACACCTGTGAGAAATGTCTGTTTAAAGTGCACCATTGATAAAACAATACTTCAAAAACCAAAAAAAAGAGAAAGAAATGTTTTCATGGACACATAACTGAAATGAAAATGCTCTGTCACTCTCTTTTGGGGGGTGGGGGGCTTGTGAGCAACTTTAGTTGTTGGGCAAAGTGCCTGTCATGATAAATCAACGTAAAAAACAAAACAAAGTACTACTCAGAAGCAACTCTGTGAAGGATGATAAATTCACCTCAAAGTCGTGATATATTGCTCTGTTTGCATTGGTATTCAAATGCCTGGAATCCTTACTACAGCTATTTTGCATATTTTATATCCATCTAATTTCAATCTGTATTTGTAAAATATAATTGAACAAGATGTACAGCGAAAGCCTGAATGGAAACGTGTTGCGTTTCAGGGGCCACTCAAAAATCTCCCTGCGTCTCCCCTGCAGTCCCCGCTAACAGATCAATAACTGCATCACGTCTTTGAAACCCTTTTACCAGGTCCCGAGGCAATGCTTTTATCTCTTCAAAAACATGCCGTTAAATGGATTAAAATAAAACCGGCAGTTATTCAGTTTGTTAGAAGAATCATGCGCACATGCAACCGAATCCCCGTGAAGCGACCGCTGAAAGTCACGTCAGGACGGAGATACAGACTTAACTCTCACAACCTTGAGCAAAGCTGCTTGTAAACCATCGCTCGTGTCGTGCCACAGGCAAAGTCACACTTATTCACCAGCTGGTGGGGTCTAGATCGCAGAGGGAGACACGGTGAGGCCCTGGGGCCCTGAAATCCATTATTCACAGGAAATCCAGCTCTTCAGGGATCTGGGCTCTAATGAACTGACTCCAAAAACAAGCACTATCTGATGTCAATGTTTAGGTTAATATCCTGTTTTGAAATGGCGAGCTCATGAGAAACATTGCAAGACACCGGCTACAGGTAAAGTGAGACAAATAGCCATCACGGGACGTCGATTTAATGGTCTCGCATGAACACCGAACCTGTTTAGGAAGCATCAGTAGTTGTACGTTTTCAATAGGGATGATTGATTCAATAACCTGCAGTATGAGACGGTGTGAAATATAGACCTAATCTGCACTGAGAATTCATATCAGAAAACAATGCTCGATAAAGAGAGGAAAATATTTCAGAAACAATAAGTACTTTTGTTACAACCATAAAATGCACTCTGTACATTAGAACTATTAACACACCAATAATTCATTAAATAATTTCCATGAAATATAGAATTATTACACATTAAATATTTATACATTCTCGTGTATAAACTAAAGCTCTTACAATTCCACAGAT